GCCATAGGACGTCCACTGCTGAACCGGAAAACGCAGCGTGTGACGTCCTCAGCCCTCATTAGTAACTACTATACCCATCTCAAAATAAAATGATACTACCAATACCACTCTCACTTATTCTCCTTACACCGTAGATGTATAGAAACTTATTTGACAACCCGATGGCGATTTCCGACTGAGTCAAACTAGACAAAGAACTTTTCTAAATTGGCTTGGGTGGGTATGTATCGGTGATGCCTCTGGCAAAACCCGTTGCTTGGCACTTTCGATCTTTTCATTGAAATAAAAACGATGGAACTGTGAAATAGTTGAAAACCTAACTCATTTATTACTATTAAGCTGGTTGTGGACCAAGAGCTAAGTTAGTTTAGCTTAGCTTGCATATCTGACACAGTTTTCCATAGTAGGGTGCTAACTGCAAACTATAAAAACACTATAGAAATGGGCGTTAGTTATGCGCTATGTGTGTCATATGTTGTCTGCTTGTTTAGCTTTTTATGTTAGCAAGATAATAAATATCATTTCTGTGTAATCCCAACTAATATTATAAATGCGAAAGTAACTCTGTCTGTCTGTCTGTCTGTCTGTCTGTCTGTCTGTTACGCTTTCCCGCTTAAACCTCGCAACCGATTTTGATGAAATTTGGCATAGAGATAGTTTGAGTCCCGGGAAAGAACATAGGATAGTTTTTATCCCGGTTTTTGAAACAGGGACGCGCGCGATAAAGTTTTTCTGTGACAGACAAAATTCCACGCGGGCGAAGCCGCGGGCGGAAAGCTAGTATTCATCAATAAAAATAATCAAAGTTTGAGGGATCCAGTCAACTCCATCAAAATTGAGGCGCTTAAGTATCTACTTGCCCTTCTTTAAGCCGCTTTGTTGTTTTTTCACGATGTACCTGGAACAGTCCATTAAAAGTTTGCCCTTCAATTACTTTTTATCTAAAATGTCATCATCAAGTCCGCAAGAAGATTTTGGGGCCTTTTAACACAGATAGAGTTTTTACAACGTCGATACATTGCTACTTATAAGTAGAAAGATATAGGCGCGTTTAACTAATTAATAGTTATCAAACAGAATGGTTATTAATTTAACTTTGTCAATTGAGTTTACTACCTATGTATAACTATCTATGTAAATTAATCGGAAAAACAATAACCTACCTCAAATTGGTGGAGGCCGCGCACCGGAAGTCGCAGCGTGTGACGTCCACTTACAAGGTGGACAGACGACATCATAAAGGTAGCAGGAATGCGCTGGACTGAGGGAGGCCTATGTTCAACAGTGGACGTTTTATGGCTGAGATGATGATGATCTAAACTTGGCAAGGATATCTGTAAAAAAGATTTTACTCAACCTTATCTTAGGAACTTTATAAAATTTCTATTCTATATTAAATTGCAAAAAAGTAGGCAATCGATTACACCGCAGACATTTATAAATTGAGTTACCTACCGGCAAGTGATCGGCTTTATGAAATATTGCTGTAAAGGAAAATATAAAGTACCTACCTTGCTATTGAAAAACGGGCAACAAGTTTAGGTATATGTATAGGTATACGCAGTCAGTACCAAATAGTATATAAATATGTCACCGTAAAATTTTTAACTCTGTTATTTTTAACCAACGGGTTTACACGTTATGTTATAAACTGACGGCGTTTACAATTTTACGGTGGCGTTACAATTTGTAATTTTGTATACACATTACAATGTCAGATACTCGTTTATTAGAAACAATAACAATTATTAAAGTACTCGTACCTACTTCTAAAACTGGGTCTGATTTATTTGTATTGGTAAGTAATTAGTTGCTGCCAAAATCACAACCACACAACGAAAATTAGTATCGGTTTGTGGTTTGTTCAAAAATCGCGTTATACTTTATTAAGTACAACTTATTAGTTGTTGCAGCAAGTTTAATCAAGTCGCCGCCGGGTGCTAAAATAATAAACCTTGTAGTCTAAAAGTTTGGAAGACCCCCATCGCTACGAGTAACAGTCGAGCCGCCGAGAAATTTGCTTCCAAATTAAATAACTTGTCGAAGTAATAATGTTGATCTAAAAGAAGCTATATTTTATTGCGGTCGAATGGAAAAACATGTCTCTAATAGCCTGTGCACGGATTAAGCATCGGGGATGGAAAAGTACCGCTATTGGATACTTACAATCCACGTTTGTTGACTACAGAAGAATTATTAAGGACGTTAAAACGATGTTTTCAAGCCTACTCTGTTTTCTTTGTACATTAGTACTCTGGATATTTTATTCGGGTACCAACGAATTCATACATCGTCGAAAATTAAGTACGTAGGTAACATTCGGTCCAAAAAACTTGTAAAATGAATATTTTACAAGTTTGTTTAACGTGTTGTTTAACGACCTACCCGAAATAAAACAGCTACGTATGTACTTTTCCTGGTCCATCTGGGAATAGTGGGCAGGGAAAGTCCAACTTTCTGTCATGTACGTCTGCTTGCAGGCTGAATACATGGGAATCATATTAGCTACTATAAGATCTGCTTTGTAAAACGAGCATGTAATTATGTATTCTAGCAAATAAATTATTGAATTTAAACGTGAAGAAGACTAACACCCATATTCACAAACGATGCTTGCTTAAGTGACGCAGCAAATCGAACGCACAGCGTTGAATAGAGCTCTGTGATTAGTTCGTGTGCGACCCTGTGCGTTCACGCGCACTGTGAGACCTCATACTTAGTATTTTTTGTGAATACGGGCGTAAAATAAATCAAACTAAAAATAAATAAAACAAATGACAGTCCAAAAACAACCCAGGTCGCCATTTTTATGTTACGTATAACGAAAGCCAAGTTTATTTTACAAAACTGTATTTCAAATGTAAGCACCCGCCCCGCATCCTTTTTGGGTAGCTAATGGACATCAGGTCGTCAAACTCCTATGTAGTTACTCGAGTTGTCGCGACACTTTTATTACGTACCTATCTTACTTATTTATATTTTATGTATAATACTATATTCAGAGCTTCAAAATACGGCACGACAAACATCAAAATCGCTACGACTGATCACCAATTAAAGTACCTAGGTACTTAGCCAAAATAAAAAAGTTGCCACGGTAACTAAATCATAAATAATAATATGTGCCAAGCGTTAAAACCTAAAAAAAACATAAAGCAAAAATGTGAAGTCAAATAATTATTTAATTTCACTAGTTTAAATAGGGCTGGAATTCATCTGACTAATATACAACCGAGATATTTTTAAATGGCCCTTTTTCTATTTCTATTCGCCCTATGTTTACAAAGTTTCAAAGTTATCGGGTAAGACGATAGCGGTAACTTCGGCTAAAGTTCTTCACTTAATTAATTATTCCACAATGGCGCACCGTTCCATTTTGTTGAGTAATGTACGAGTACGTTTTGGACAATGCAGGCGGCCATATTACCTAGTCTGGTTGAACTATCGCATTCCAAGTGAATAAGTGATGTAACAGAAAATGGAGCAGCATCTTTGTCTCCTTTTGGATTCCTCCATGGAAATGGCGACCGCATTTTATCATCATCATCATCTCAGTCACAGGACGTCCACTGCTTAACATAGGCCGGTCGGTGATCGGTCGGTAGCGGCCTGCATCCAGGGCCTTCCTGATGCTACCTTTATGAATTATAGAGCCGCATAGCGAGTTTTGTTTATCAATCGTTATCGATATTTTTGAAATACAGGGTGGAAACGATAAGTGATCTCACTCGATTATTTCTAAACTATACAAGATATCAAAAAACTAGTTACTGATCCTGAAAGTGCTTCATGAGCTCTATCAAATGGTATTAAAAATAGGTTTCTGAATAAACTGGATCTATCCGAAAATTCAATGTTTCCAGCTTCCATACATTTGGTAAAGTCACATTATTTTAAAAACTACACATGATATCGTAAAACTAATTACTGATTCTAAAAGTGCTTCACAAGCTCTATCCAATGGTATCAATATTAGGTTACAGAATAAACGGGATCTATCAAAAAATTCAATGTTCCCGTCTTCCATACATTTAGTACTACCACAGTCATGACACTCATCTCTTGACAATATTATAGCAAGTAAAGCCTAAAACTAATGTTTTCCATAAATAATTTTAAAGAAGAATACAATTTACGAGTTTATTTTAAGAGTTTATTATTCAATAATAAAAACACACTTCTAATATTGTGTGTCTGGCATACATTTAGTATGGAAGCTGGAAACAATGAATTTTCAGATAGATCCAGTTTATTCTATAACCTATTATTGGTACCGTTTGAAAGAGCTCATGAAGCACTTTCAGGATCAGTAACCAGTTTTTCAATATCTTGTATAGTTTAGAAATAATCGAGTGAGATCACTTAACGTTTCCACCCTGTATATGTTACTTAATGCTAATTACTTTCTTATACTATTAAATAAATCGAAATTAATAAAGATTCATGCAAAAGTGTACTCATCACATTTGACGATGCGTTCATCCCCCGGGCCGAGCGAGCCGGTATCATTTAGCCATGTCAGACGCATGGTAGCCCTTAACAACAGTACAATCAGTTGTACCCACAAGGTAGAAGAATGCCGATAGTTTTCCTTAAACAAAGGAGTTTTGGACCGATTGTTTTTTGTTTTTCCGTGGGCGCCCCTAAATTGGGATAAGAATTTACGAAAGATGTTTTGGGAAAACCGGAAACAATTCTTCGCTCAAGGCGATTCGCAATTATCGTTTAATTTATCATTCAACGGCTGTTGGTCATGAAACATTTTGAACCTACAATTGACGTTTTTGTTTCAAAATATCACCTTACTTAAGTACTACAACAATATAATATGCAAAACAGTCCTTAGCTTGAGGTGTCACCATACGTTCACGCTCGAAGACTTTTAATGGGCTTATGGAATGTTTTGTTCTAAACTCTACTGACTATGTGAACCAAATTTATCGTACATTATTATACATTTACATCTAGTCAAAGATTCTCAAGTTCTTTTTCTCTTTCAGATCATTGAAGCCCTGAACTACTTGCACTACAGTGCCAAGCAGATCCACCGCAACGTGTGTCCGCAGGTGATCATCGTCTCCAAGAGGGGCACTTGGAAGTTGTTCGGACTCGAGTTTGTGGGTAAGTACAATTTCAAGCTAGAGTATCACGTTATCTTCTATACTTTGCTACAAATACCAGATGTGATTTCGCCACTTACAATTGAAAAGATTTGCTTTTTCTAAGCGAAGAATTTTTTTATAGTGAAAACTAATCTGTAATATACATAAAAGACAGCCAAAATGAGTTTTTAACTATCGAAATGAAAAAAACCAAAGACAATAAATAAGTGATAACCCTTATTCACGCACACTTCAGAGCATAACATGTCTTGAAGTTGACTGAACTGCGAGGCGTAAGGCGTCTGTTAAACGACTTCTAAGCACACAAGGCTTGTAATTTGAAAGACAATAGAGACGTTGATGAGGAGCACTCGTACATATTTACGCTTGTTTATTAAAATTAACAAGCTAACTTCAACCTAAGAAGTGCATGAAAAAGCCACCATTAATTAAATAACTCGCTTTACGCGCATAAATTTCAGCATCAAACAAAGTCACTTTAATCCTTGCCACAAACTTTAAATATGAATTTTCAGGTATTACTTGGTAAATTTTACATTATCTGATTTAAATAATGCTATTTAATCTTTAGGGCCCATTACGTCTACATGAAATTTAATTCAACTTATACAAAAATTCTTTTCGTTCTGAATTTACAGTATTGACTTGAGTTTAGGAACAATTTGCACATCTTAAAGTTAATGTAGAACCTACTTTTTAAATTGACCTCGACAGTATTTTGCTTAGTTAATAGGTATAAGAGACATTTTTAGATACCCTTAACTTAGACTGTAAATAAGATGTACAAGGAACATTAATAGCACCGCCGTAATGAGGAGATCTAGTCTACCTGGGATAACTTTTAAATTAGAGGTGCCCGCCATTAACAACTTCTGTTCTCCACTTTTATTATAGCTAATGAAGATCTGTCTAACTATAACTCTACCTAATGGGCAAGCGTCTCTCGCATCTTTTCAATTTACGTGAATGATCACATTCAGAAGCAAACAAGTAACAAATATTTACCTTGGAGATACACCCGAAATTGTAACTTACTTTCTTTTTAACGATGCTAGTTCGATTCAACAAATCGTACAAAAATAGACATCGAAAATTAAAAGTTTGCGCTTTAATTTTGATTAATCAAAAGAGTTTTAAGATCATTAGGTACTTTTTTTGACATTATAAGTTATTCGGAGTTAAAAAAATCAGGTTTTACATAATAGTTAAGAGGGAGTTCCTTTTAAAATTTAATTAAAACTCAATTTCGGCTTACAAATTTGTAAGCCACTGAATAGTCGGAATCCAAATTGATTTAATCATTCATCAGCCTGTACATGATGGCTACCTTTTATCCGAAATGTATAGTTAGTAGATTAGTTTCTATGTGAGCCTTATTAAATAATTGTGTTTGCCTACATTATAAACTTCTAACCACTGTTAATAAAATAGTTCAGGAGAGCTATTCTAAACAAGTCTCAATGAACTTTTATGAACTTCCCCGGAAACAAAGCTGTTATTTTCAAATGTTCTAAATCATATACAAAACATTTACGAACCTACATCTTGGGCTGTAATGGATGGATAAAATGACAAAAGTTATTACGACAGGACTGAAACCTAGAAGACATAAGAAACATAAGAGACGCATTGTTTTATGTTAATGCTTGTGTTAATTACTAAGCTTTTATATTTTTAATGGCACGACGATGATAGAGAGAGGTTATTATGTTTGTAAATCAACATTAGCCATCCGCGTTGCTTAACCACAGCCAAAGAGCTTAAAATTATCCCGTTTTCTTATGTAATTATTAGCGCTAAGTATTTAATACATCAATCAATATAAATCATGTCTCGCTTAAGTATATGAACCGTAGAAACGAGATAAAGATGCTTTAGGAAAAAAATACAGCAATTTCGGAAAATCGGAGGTAAGGTTTTCCTTGTTCTTACCTGTCAGTAGGTATACCTACAAAAAGTACACTGCTAATAAGTATATTATCGGAATGAGAAGATACGCGTAATGGTCAGATTTGGTAAATGCTCTTCCTAAACTACGTCGATGAATCAACTCCATCTTATGCAAAAATTCTTAATGCAAGTGAAAATGAAATTGAATGCATCACAATCGACATTATTACATTAAATACAAACTCTCTAATTCTGATGCTAAAAAGGCTTGATAGCTTCCGGGTTAAAAGGATAGTTCTAATAAAATTATTATTGAAAAAACAAAAAACTGACTGCACAAAAATTAACTGAAGAGATAAAAACAAGACAACAAATGTAGTCGGAGGAATTAAATACATATCACCAACAAAGGAACTAGTCATTACCATACATATACTCGAAAAACATAACCCTCCTTAGCGCAGTGGGGTAAAAACACGTGAATAAGTGATTCGTGATAAGGAACGAAGTATCTCGTAGGTCACGCGCGGCGCCTTAGTTGAAGACTCAACTTTGAAGCGTAATCTTTCTATTTTCAACCGCTTTGCAAAGTTATTTTCAAACTTCAGAAACGAACAAGATTCTGTATAGCAACTAGTCTAGACGATCTTTGTTCAAAATCTATACAGGGTGTAATTTTGTAATGCCAGGGAAAGTACTCTTAATTTGTAGATAGACAATTTTTCTCAAAGAAAACATTCCTTTGTTTTTGAAAAGAAATATAACTGCATTCAAAGATTTCCAAAAATTTGCTAACAAACTTGATAAATCAAATGAAAGGAAAAACATAATTATTAATTATTTTAATTAAAATAATTTAAGATTTCATTACATAATTATGTAAGAAAATTGTATGGTATGGTAGTGAATTTTCGAAAACCTTTATTACAAAACTCCACCCTGTATATTGCGCGCTTATTCCCCGTAAGCTTCGTAAATACAAGCTCAGGTGTATGGTTTCATTGACGCGTGTAAGCTCGCACGGTTAAGCACTTTTGAATGTAATGCCAGGCCTGGCTCACTCCGCGCGGTACATCCGATAATTACCTACAGCGAAGCGCCCCGCCGGCGGGTATTATATCAGTCGAGTGTCACACGCGCGCTCGTCAGGACGCTGGCGTGCGTTGTAGTATGACTGTATGATTATAATTCTATGATCGAAGTATTATTTAAAAATGGACATAAAGAGAAAGAAATATTGTGCGGCGTTCGGGTGTTTAAATTCGATCGAAAAGTAATCTACCGGATTTATCTTTTTTTTTCGCTTCCCAAAGATGCTGAAAGGTATGTTGGCCATGTAGGTTTTCAATAATTCTTAGGATAGTATAGGAACCTAACCTACCATGAATACTGCTCAGAATGCGTTCGTTCGTTTCAGCCAAATGACGTCCACTGCTGGACAAAGGCCTCTCCCAAGGTTTACCATAATGAATGCATACTTACCTACATACGTAGGTCATTACAAATAAGTAGATTAATTATTTTTTCACTTGACAGCAACCCTAACAGCGTAAAAAGAGTTCAGAGGCACGCGATAGAAAGAGACAAAACTTGTAGGTGAATAAAATTGTAGGTACGTAGTGCTGTGCGAGCTGAATTCCACTGTATCGCGTCGTAGCAAGACTCGCATTTATTTAAATCGTCTTGCGGAGTAATCCTTCTGTACCTGTACTATTACTTATTCTGTGGTAATGCTTAGAGGTATTTTTCCTGAACCTATTTTCGACTATACCGTAAATAAAAACTATTGAACGAATTCATGAAACTTAGCTTTTGTGCATAGCTTTGCCCGCATGGTTTCGGTCTATTATATTATATAAAGCCTTTATCGAGCGCGTGTTTCCTTTTAAAAATTGGGATCTAACCTATCCTTTTTCTTTGGAGCTCGAACTATCTTTATCAAAATTAAATCGGTTCAGCAGTGTAAGCGTGAAAAAGAAACAAACAACCATCCATTCGACATTTAATTTTATAAGATTCCTTAATATTTCAAGGTTAAACCAAATATCAAATTGAAGCTGGCCCCGTAAGTAGGTACCTACTCCAGTCTAGATTGAATAATCTAATTATAAATTCTTAGATACTCCAAGCAGTTAATTATTCAGGAGCTAATTAGATACCGTAATTATTACAGCAGCAGTAATTATGTGCGATGATAGGTTTATTAAACTTGCATTGTTGCGCCTCAAGACAGTGACGGGATTCCATCAAATGTATGTGTAATTAGTATCTACGTTCGTTAACACTAGGGTTGAGTTGCACCATCTTACTTTTAACTTTGACAAACATCAAAAATCTGTCAAACTCTATACAAAAAGCACCGGATAATGTTAATGTTACAGTTTATAAGGTGGTACAACTCAGCCTAGGTAAACTTAATTAGTTCCCTACGTCAAACGTCGTCTTTGAATCAAACGAGGCTGTTAATCAAACTTATAATAACTTACGAAATTATTGAACTTTAAAAGTGTTTTACTGTGAATGTGGTTTTCTATTCTCGTATATGTTAGAACTAGCTTTTGTCAGGGGTTTTGCCAGCATGAATTTCGGTAAGTCACAGAAAGTGTCCTCTTCCAAATACCAGGATAATATTTTCATAATAATAAATAAATAAATAAATAAATCAAGTAAACAATATTTTTCTCTGGGTCTCAAACAATTTTATACACATCTAAATAAAGATTAAATGGCGTGGAAACAGCATTTGCCGTCAAACACGTGCAGCTCAACAAGTATGACGTCTCTCATTCGTGCAACAGAAGTAATAATTCAGCAATGAGAAATACGCAGGCCGAGTCAAGTGATTCAAGTGTGAAATCAAGCAATGGAAAGAATTACTTACTACAATTGTAAAAATGTTGGCCACTTCAAGAATAAAATGCCCATACAAGAACAAAGCATTCTAGAAAAATAAACAAATGAATGCATTTAGAGCTAATTTCACTGACAAGGCAAACAAAACATTACAAACAGACTCTCAATTTTATTAATGTAGAGTGTCTCACAACGCCTTTCAATGTAAAGTGGTTAAAGCGTGAAGGAGTAACAAACATACATGCATCCTCACATGACAAAGGTCCCTAGTTTCTTTCGCTGCTTCTTCTCAGCACTGGCCCATTTGTCCCGAAGCAGTTGCAGTGGTAGAGTCAAAAGTAATACTGGAACGGGCCCTTGAATGTTTCCTGTCTTTTAGAACTTTTAATATGAAAGTTCCCTATTCAAAGGCACGTAATTAGACCAAATAACCATCATATTACGGTGCAATTACGTTAGTAATTAACACATTATAATTATGTTCTGGAACCACACATGCGGCGCGTCAAAGCCGGCATGCCACAGGACATAGCTCAAGTGCCACGTGTATTGTTTCACATAAACTCCGTACAAATCTACTAAGTTATACAATTAACGTGAATGAGAAAAATATCATACTCGTAAATAAACGTTTAATTTATTATTCAACTTCGTTAATGCAAGGGCCAGGCTATTACTTCATCATCGTCATCATTTCAGCCACATTCTACTTGATATTAAATAACAAAATCGCTTTGTCTCTCCACTTGTATGTACTTTGAGAAGTGCATCAAATTCAACTTCCAAAATGACATTACTCACAACGGCTACCTGGACAGCTGAAGTTAAATGAAAGCTTTTAGAACAAAACCACTACAACAGCGAATTTGGTTCTAAGTCAATAATGAAAAATTCCAACTATCGCACTCTGTTATTTTATGAACCACCGGCTGACTCTTTTTTAAAAACCACACAAAATTGGCAATCACAAGTAGCAGATTAAATTTAAGACAGGTCTCTACCTATGGTGTCCACATTCAAAAACTATTTGATGGTTACACTACCAAATAGGTAATTTTGCGGTGGACAACTCATTACCGGGTTTAGAACCGACTAGCTTACTAGCTTAATGTCGCAAATGAACTCTGTGTTCAATTAAGTCGAGTGCGGTTAGTTCGCACTTCACTGATCGATGTCAGGTGCAAATAATCGATATGATTATGAACTCGTTAGAGCCAAGGCACAAGATGCGTTGCGGCGGCAGTGCGATGCGGGAGCGGTGCGGCTGCGTCGCAAGATACGGCGAAATCTTTGCGGTGCGGTGCCGCAAAGCATCATGTGCTTTGGCTCTTAGTCGAAGTATAAATAATAAGCTTTTGTAATTTTTAACACTAAATCGAGAAAACAAGTAAGCCTTCGTCTTACCTTCATACTTGACCAACAACTTTGGATTAAAATTACCACATGTTATTGGTAACGTATTAAGTCCTTCTGTATTTCATTCAACATCGGTGGCATCGGCTCGCGGTCTCGTTGCGGGCAATTTTCCCTGCACCCCTATCGCTCGACGAGCAGTTAGTAACTGCTAAACTTTATTCCAATGACGTTTGTAGGCCACTAACAAGTTCCCGTTCGAATCCTGTTGCGCTCTATTCCTCGGTTACAACTTGGAATGTATATTGTTTGAATAAGCGATCACACGTTTAATGGTTATCCAAACTATCGTGCATGTTAATTTCTAATATCAAGTAAAGTAATCCAACTATATTTTGTACAACATACGTAATTGACAGTAATGAATTGCGTCATCGCTAAGTTAAATATAAAACATTTAGTAAGAAATAAAGTAATTTTATATAGCTACAAACTAAGTATACTTATAACGACGCCACTGATTTGAGTTCACTGTTATAGATTTGGCGACATGTCACCCAAGCCTGCACTTACCTCTCCACATTACATGAACAAAGCGTCAACATTGAACTTCCGCGAAGCAACAAAGGCTGAACTTTTATCATAGGGGCGCGAAATATAAAAGAGAATGCGAATAGAAATGCTAAACATCTGACATATCAAAACACACATAATAACTAGTCCGCGCGCGTTCAAAGTTAATATTATATAGTTTTGGCTCAGTACTCCTGTTGTGCGACTGAACAGCACACAATAATATTAAAATGAGATAAAATTTGTTTGAGAGGCTATCTCCGAAACTACTGTTCCGATTCTGGGAAACATAACATCTTTGGCTTCATCCAAGTTAGGCTAAGGCTACTTTATCCTGAAAAGTTGTCTATAGATGCCAACTTTCATTGACAAAAGCCCACGTAGCGTAGACAAGTTTTTAACCATTTATGCTTTTACAAACATCAAAGCTACGGCGTTCTTTTCCTGGAATGCCCTTGTTTTATCCACTAGGGCTGGACTCCATAGAGAAATCAGCAACATAAAATACCTATACAGTAGCAAAACTGGATCGTTTGATGTTAGGTATGTACTGATCTTATTTCACACAATGTTGACATCCCAACTAATATTATAAATGCGAAAGTAACTCTGTCTGTCTGTCTGTCTGTCTGTCTGTTACGCTTTCCCGCTTAAACCTCGCAACCGATTTTGATGAAATTTGGCATAGAGATAGTTTGAGTCCCGGGAAAGAACATAGGATAGTTTTTATCCCGGTTTTTGAAACAGGGACGCGCGCGATAAAGTTTTTCTGTGACAGACAAAATTCCACGCGGGCGAAGCCGCGGGCGGAAAGCTAGTTTATAATAAAGCAGTTACGCATTTCGTAGTTCTACCATAGTTTATTGGATTCCTTTACAAATTGCAACGTGGTGCTTCAAAAATCAAGATTAACCCTGAAATTCTTCGTGAGGTTTTTTTTTTTTAAGTCTGCCTGCTGATGATGGGGATTACAAAATATGCTTTTTCTCCAAAATTCATAAGTTTATTCGACTAATTAGATTTTAAACCTACGATTTTATTTCGCTGTTGTAAGCTACGAAGACATTTCCAGCAGGTTCAGTCTTATAAACATTTCTTTCTAGTAATATTTTCAGTCTTAGGAAGTTGTTTTTAAAGTTCCTTGGAAACACAAAAGTAATAATTTTCAAACAAATTTTGGAAATAACATGTATCTCTAGGTACCGGTTATCAAAATACAGTGAAGAAGGGAACTTTCATATTTTATCTTAGAAACTAAAGGCAAGATGGCATTTCAATTTAAAAGTTTGTTGAACATCGAAAACTTGAAAACTTCTCCTTTATAAAAGTATGTTCGGTGCAGCGCCCTAAAGCAAATATTCATGGAAAATTTCGAATAACGAGATACCCGGTCAACTCTAAAGTAGGTAACTTGCTTACACGAGACTTAATTAAATTATTACTTTAATATAAACGCTTGCTACTAATAAGGTTTTCTTTTTGCGGTTTACTACTAAACGTCTGGTGCAGGTAAAAATAAACTTCTTAATAAACTCGTTGAAATTAAGTAGGACGTCGCTGTGGTTTTTAGATGTACTAAGAATTCTTGTTCGAATAATATTCAGTGGACCCATATAGTGGACTTGATTTATTAAGGCTGAGTTCTACCACCAACTCTAACGGTAACTATAACAATAACCGGTGCTTTTTGTATGGAGTTTGACAGATTTTTGACGTTTGTCAAATTTAAAGTGAGATGGTGCAACTGAGCGTAAGTAGGTAGTTATAATTATTGTACAGTCAGAGTTACACCCAAAATATCAAAAAAAACAACACAACCTTAGTTCCATTGTAACAAAGTTGAAAATGTCTTGGCTACTTCGCGCACTGTACCGACAAAACGATTAATCATCACTTTATTTGACAAATTCTGAATGAGACACTGTCTGCTCGTGTATGGATATGATATGTTGTTTATACCAGTTCGTAGAATTGTGTTCTATAACTACAGAATGACAACTGATTGGAAAATTAATCTTATTACTGGTAGGATAGGAAGGTATCGAATTCCCCAATCCCATAGGTAATCTTTTAACGGGAATATCAGAATATGCAGCGTCCGAGATGAAGCCGCAATTATAACCTTGATCCATGCGAGAAATTGCGTATAGAGAAGTGCATTAATAAAACATCTGAATTTATAAACAGAAAATATGATTTTTACGTTTTTGCCGTAAATAAGTATTGTGACATGTAGCAAATGTTTATCAAAAACTGTACTGCTTTAAGCGTGGAACCTTTATTTGAAATTTATCTGCGTATTTGAAATATAGGTACGCAAAAGAAAAATGTTTAATTTGAAATATTTTTTTACACTAAATTGCAATCAAAAGTACTTACTCGTACATAAAAGCGGTGGAATTCTTCGGATTCCTTTTAAAAGCTCTCAAAATATAGGAGTGCTCTTGTCGGCCATAAACTACGTGTATCAATGTCTACCTACACCATTCAAAGGATCTCAGCTCGTATTAAGAACCTTTTATTGTGAAAATCTCATTAGTGAAGAAGATTCTAGAAAGGGTAGCAAATAACTCAACTCTCGATACTTAGGTACTTTTCTATTATTGAAATTGGAAAAGGCATAAAGAAACACGCTGGAAACTTTTGAGTTTTGAAAAATACAAACATGCAAGATTTACAAACAGATAAAGGGCATTCGTATAGCCCAGTTTCGCATCCACTAATAAGATTAAAAATTTTACCAGCCATTTTTCTACGTCTTATTTAAAGTTCGGAAAAACTTTTTGTTCTAATCTTTAAATAACCTACAGTATAATGTACAAAGCTCGTCGCTATAACTAAAGTTTTTTTCTCTCGCAGAGAACATCATTGGCCCGGACCCTACGGAGATGATGTCGGTGCCTCCCTGGTCCATCAAGATGTCCAAGATGAGTCAACCACATCTTGACTTCATGGGTAAGTTACATATTTGATTAAATGTACCTACCTAGATGAATAATATGAATGAATATATTATTATGGTTTAATGTAGAGTTGAAAGTGGTTCAGCTAACATATTTTAATTAATTTTAAACTTTCGCGTTGCATAATAAATTAATTTAAACAGGCCGTTGTCACAGGCTGACTTGACTAACCTATTTTCTTTCAAGAGCCAGTAAAGTGAAATTGGTGTAAAATGCCTTATTGAAAGGTAACAAAGGTGTATGAAGAGACATAGTATCTTCTTTTGTTATATAATTACATTTTACGGGCGGTTCACACCTGTCTCCGTTTTACTGTTCCGTTTTATCGTGTACCTACGTTTTTTTTCGTCGATGTAGGGTAATTCCAGAATACATGCCCCAGTGGGATAGGTGCCGCGATTTTAAGTACACTATGTTACAAATAACTTAGCCTAAAGTTATAGTACGTATAATAGAAAGGGACCTACCCGTACCACTTTTCGCCTCGTTTTCGTTTAGCCAGTGAGAGCAAAAATCTTCCACGGCGAGACCTTAGCGAGCGGCGAAATAATATTGGTAAGTATCTTTTAATGGATAATTTTTTGTCAACTGTTAAATGAAGCAGATTTTTATATTATTTGATAGACTATCTTATCAATTATTATACGGGATAGCTATGTTTAATTCGATTTTTAGTGTTATTATATTTTTTATTAAAAAAAGGCACCTATCCTATGCTAAAAGGATAGTTGCCTAATTTTTTTTGGGTATAGATGCCCTTAGGGCCATGTCCCATGCACCTAGGGGCATCTATCCTAACCTGCTCTTTTTGTCACAGGGAGCAAGTAAGAAGAAAAAAAGAATGTAGTACGGTTAACCTTAGGAAAGTAATAAATAGCCCTTTTGATCGAATTACCTTTTTACCCGACTGCGCTAGAAGGAGGGTTATATTTTTCGGGTGGATGTACTGTGTATTATTTTTAATAAAAAATATTAAACTTCATTTTTAATTCATTTAATAACAAACAATCTTAAATAATAATACTTGGCTTGTTTGATTTCAAAATGCATTTGATCCTTAGAATTCAAAAACTGTATTAACGAGTCATCTATCCCTGCATCAGGCATCTATCCTTTGAAGCAATCATACAGTGCGTCTTCTATCCCCCACATTAGGCGTCTATCCCATATATAGGTATAACTTAAACCAAAATAATTATGGTAATATCATAGACGAAAGATCAAAGTTTACAGATACTAAGGTCAAATTGTTGATAAAAACTTACTGACTGAGTAACAGAGTTGTTTTAAAAAGTGGGGCATCTATCCTGGACTTACCCTATGTATTACTGTATACAGAATACTGTGTCATCTGTGAAGTCGCTCATACAACTATATACGTGATCGACGAAAAAAAACGTACACGATAAAACGGAACAGTAAAACGGAGACATGTGTGAACCGGCCGTTACTCGTAGTTTTGCTAATATAAACGACTAGCGGCCGCCCGCGACTTCATACGCGTGGATCCCGTTTTACCCCCTTAGGGGTGGAGTTTCGTTAAATCCTTTCTTAGCGGATGCCTACGTCATAACATCTACCTGCATGCCAAAATGCCGGATCCGTCCTGTGGATTGGGCTATGCGATCACTAGTTCACTAGTCAGTCAGTCACCTTCGAGTTATATATATTTAGATAATCGAGCTTTATATATTATAGATATTCCTATTTCATGACACTAAAAAATCTTTTGTAAAATCCAAACTTTGCCCTCAGGCAGCAACCATCACAAATTATGTAAATATTATAAACATCTGAAACGGTTTTGGCACTTGAACATTAGAATTTAAAAAAAAGTTTAGGTACGTTTCACAAGAACAAAATTCTAAAAGCTCATTTAAATGTTCAGTAAGAATTGGGAGTCATTTTAAATGCAAAGTGCACGTCTATCTCTTTCCCTCCTATCCCTTAACTGGCATAATTTAAGACAATCCGTCTAGCGATGATTTGAAAATTTGGGATACCTTTTATTCTTAATCCTAAAATCTTGAATTTAATTTCGTAATCCCTTTACATTTAAAACAGTGTCGTGATTTATTTTTTGTTCGTTCAGCACCCGAGGTTCAGGCCAACGGGCAAGCCAACATCCTGTCGGATATGTTCTCTCTGGGGCTGGTGATCTGCGCCATCTTCAATAATGGCCGCTCCATCATCCAGGCCAACAACAACCCGCTGCTGTACATGAAGCAGACCGAACATGTAAGTACCTTGGCATTGCCTACTTTTGCTACAGTTGTATGGATTGTAATAACGGAGATCGCAACCCTGCGGTCAGACTTGATGAACCGCCATAAGCGTTTATCATTACTCAATCGGACAAACAGCGTATCTTGCTCTCCGTACGCCGCAACATCTTTCTTGGACATTCTGATTAATTCAAGTCGATAAGTCTTACACAGACAAAAACAACTGCAAAATAGCAACGTTAAAGAACTGTATTTTATTTTATCACTAGTGCAATCAAAAGAAGTACGCATCTAAATTAAAATCCCTATCTACCTCGCAGTCGCATATTTTTAAACTTTAAAATGTCACACAGTAAAAAAATCTCCTCGTGCAACGTTGTGCTTGTATTTAGAGAAATAACTATAAACTGTTAGTTACCACTCTATGAAGAAATCTGAGATTATCATTTGTATTATAAAAGTTATGAGCACAAAACAAGGAAAATATAAATCCAACGCCGCTTTTATTACGCCCTTATCTGCTTACTTGACTAGAAAATACCTGGAATACGTTAAGATGTTACCTTTGTGAAACTAAAAGGGCACGTTATTTTAGTCGTATTTTCTTAAGAAAGCTAACACAATGCGGACGTTATGGAACTCGTCACGACCTTATGTGTTTGCGGAGCACCATATCGCCTTATTCTTCACATGCCGCTGTTCAGGCTCTATTCTTTGCGTACACGCAAGTAATGAAATTCTCTAACTGCTTTGTATTCCTGGAAGATACAACCTCCTTCCCTACAAAACAATAATGAATACCGCCCTATGAGTAAACATGACATTTTTGTCTTCATCGGCCTGAAGTTAAGGTGTTCGTTTAGAACCGTAAAATAATGGTAAGGTGACCCTTATTTATATTCATGGAAGTGTTATTTTATGTTGTTATACCACGAAACGAAATTAAAAAAATAGAAATTAAAAAAATCTTATTAAGTGGTTAAGTAAAAAGACATTTCGTAAACACTTCTTTAAAGAAGCATCGACTCTAGGAAAAATATTTTATTTAAGTAGAACTTAACTACAGACTTGATGGGTTATTAAATTATTCAGTCAGATTTCAAAAGTTACGTAGGATTATTGTAGGTTTTTTGTGTTGCTCAAGTTTACCTGGTTCATATTATGTATTACCTACTTCGTCTGGGTTGTGAGCGGCAAGACACCCCGGGGACTAAGGTCCTGTTCACAATAAAGCCGCGGCGAGAGTGGCTGGCTGCTAACTTAGCATAGCTAAGTAAGTAATGATAATGAACTATGTCAAAACCCTTTTATGACTGCAACTTAGCCCTGAAACGAAGATCTACTAGGTATACCGTTAAACGAGGAGACATAAACTTAATTAAGATGGCTAACGATATTAAACAAAATTATATTAAATAATAATGTAGACTTGTAGAGTCAAGATTCTCGTTAAAATAGGTGTCGCAGATTCTTTATAGTATATAAGGAATGTTGTTCGCGCATAGCAGAAAAAAGTAAGTCAAAAGGAAAATATAGTGTTTTTATTTTTTAAATTGATAAAATCAAATTTCTCACCTTACTATACTATTTATAATAATATGCATGTTAAACACAGGCTAGTGTAATAATATACCATTTACCTTACACCCTATATGACACTAGGCGACGACTCTCTCTCGACACTAAATGAGATAACGTCGCTCCACGTCTCAGTAAACAATTCACAAACATCTTTGTGAAATTTGTATGTCTTAGATTAGCTTCTACGAGTATGCCAGTTTACTTGATCCCAACCTCACTCTAGTACTCTCTGAGTGACTTATTAACATCCCCTTCTTAATGTAAAACGTAATACTTAGTGTGAGTAAAATATCCTTGGACATAATACATTTAGATTAATAAAGCCTAGATGGATATCTTCATACAAGCGCTTTGTCTAAAGTGAGCCAAAAATCTTATATGAACTAACTAACCAGTTAACGTTAGTTTACTGAAATCATCAACTTTATATTCGTATCCTTGTTCTCAGTCAATGTATGGGTGACTTTTGTATTTAATCATTCTTATTTGATGCGCGCTGTTTTATAATTGGGACATGTGGATACTTTACTTAGCTCATAGAAAAATATACACACACAGTTAACCAAAGCTTAATCTCTAGACATTATGGTGCGCGGAAATAAACCGTAACCTTAAAAACTTAAATTAAGATAATTTCAATATTTTTTTACTTGAAAAAGACAACGATTATACATAATTGCGATAAAGTTATATGTTAAAAAAAACTCTACTCATTAAACATTCTTTGACAACTGTTTTTTTGCAAAATAAACATCTTAATCCTTATGTATTTAAGATCACAAAACACAAGGTACGCATAAAACAATTTTCAAGTCTTCAACTTCAAAAATAACAACCTTTCACGTATTAAAATCTCCAATTTCACCCACTTATGCCTACCTATCCTATCATCGCCGAAAACATACCCTTTCTAATACGTGTATTAATAAGGCTCCAGTTATTTCGTGCTTTTATGTATTCATTACAACAATCTTAACAAAATATAAATAATATTTGATAAAGGATAAGGCCGTATTCTGACTTGTCCGCGCGGCAGCGACACGACGTAAAGTGAGTGTATACTAAGGCTGAGTTGCACAATCTTACTTTAACTTTGACAAACGTCAAAAATCTGTCAAACTCCATACAAAAACCACCGGTTATCGTCATAGTTGCCGTTAAAGTTTGGTGGTGCAACTCAGCCTTAGAAAATGAATTCGAAAAAAGTTGTTTTTCATTTGTTTTCCAGAAATAAATGACACGTGCAAGGGTTTAGAAGTACGCCCAAGTAAGAGTTAGCAACTACAAAATAATACAATACGCTAACCAGCACCGTTCCTATTAATTAAAGCCTACTCTGAAATATTTAAGTATCCCTGAAACAAAACCATGCTTATCTTAGCTCAATTGAATGAAATTGTATTTTGTGTTCCAAAATAAGTACTCCATTTATTTCTATACGAGTAAGTCGGAATATTAATTATTGTTTGTTAAATTCGAGACTTGTAAGAAGATTAATAAACATAAAAAGTTATTTAGTATAATTTTCGGAAAATAATTGTAAGGCAAACAAATTATCATTATGGTAATTATTTTTAGATGAAGTTAAAGGGTTATGCCCACTTAGTATGGGACCTTTGGCCTGAGGTGGACAGACATTACAGCATGTAATTTGTTATTTATTAAATAGTCTATACCAGTAAGAAACAGAATATAAACATCATTTTGTATCCAAATCCTTAAAAAAATTTTTTTTTGCATAAGACTAGAAAGGTTAGAAGCAAAATAAAACACCATTTTTTTTTATTATTATTATTTTAATCTGACTCATGGGTCAATAAAATATTGTCTAGGAACTAGGCAGGTGGAAATACATGTTCCTGATACCTTGCCCAGCTCAAAAACCACAAAATTGTCATAACATGAGCACAGCAACCTACTGTTATTCGGCCAATATCAGGGCAAATGAATCCTCGTCCTATCATGTGTTTGTTGGGGCTCGATCAGCTCACTGCCATCAGGGATGACATATTTGGTCAGATCCCCGCAGCTGAAACAAAGAAATTAATTATGGTATCATTCAAAATTCATTCTTTAAGATATTGAGATGTGATGTCAATTTTTATCTATCAGTAAGAAGTATTTGTACAGAAAAAAATATACACTTTGTTCAAATATATCAAGCCAATGTCTTTAATAAAATATAATGAAAATAATTATAAAAAAACTTACTTGACGAGGTGAAATCTGTTCCATTATTACATTATTTTCGAATATGTGATTCTCTTTCCGTGTTAATATGCAGTCTATGGAACATATTTGTAACAAAGATAATCCACGTTAACTGTGACCAGTGCTAGTGGTTGCTTCTTCATTTGAAATATTATTTGTCCTTGATTGGTGCAGAGCCACACCGTGGCCACAGTCCAACATGAGTGACAACATACACTGCTGTTATCAATCTAAAAAAAAAGTTTTATTAGGATTATGGTAATCTACGGTAAAGGTAGTTGATCAAATACATTGTAAAAGGTATGCAACAAGTCCACACGCTCATTCAATAACTTACCAGCTGAGGAGTCATCCACTGACATTATAACCAACTGAACTTAATAAGCTCTAGGCTATGTCGCCTCCTCTGCATCATGTCAGCTATACAATTGATACATATCATAGGTTCCTCATGAGATTGAGGAATTGCTGGTTGCATTATCCAAAATCGGGCTGGGGTTAACATTGGGGCTCGGGTCGGAGTCCATACGTAAGCCGTGGTCGGCGTTTAGGCAAGGTTCGATGTCCGAAAGTGAGCCATTGGTCATTGGTTGAGTGAGATTCGTAGTTCGAGAGTATGCAAGGGTTATCGGGAAGAGAAGCATCGAGGACCATGGTCAAAAAAATAAAGTCGTCAAAAGGGAAACTTATACAACACTCTTCTGCTTTTATTTTGGCAAAGACTTGGTTTTGAGAACTAAACAACACTCACGATGAAAAATACAAAACAAAGCGAATGACAGATAACAGCTGTGACAATATTTTCAGTGTTGCCATGCTAATAATGTGGTTATGAATAAAAATAATCGATATAAAAATCGATTGTATTTTTTGATGACTCGAAATAAGGTGTATAATAAGGTGTGTGTGAAATAAGGTTTCATTTAGTTATTTAAATATTTCTGGTAGTGTTATTGGAATATTAGAAAGGTTTTATAAATGTCATTTTAATGAATACGTATTTAAAAAATACTAATTGTCATAGTCGAAAAACAATCGATATGAATCGATTCTTACCGATAAGATTCATTTTGGCAACACTGAATTGAGTGTTAAAGACAGGAAGTTGTAATTATCACATAAAGTACTATTTAAATTGGATTTTTATAAAGGCAAATTGATACAAAGTTACACTAAGTGAATACTTTAAAAATTAATTAAAAATTTTTGGCAAATTCATATTTTCATTAGCAGCTTGTCCACGCCAGGCCAGAAATGAACATTGTCCTTTTAGCGGGAATCGTTATAATTAGCAGAAACGTTCATTAAATTATACAAACATACCTGCCAATCATGAAACATGTTATTTTGAAAGTTTGTTGTTACTTAAGTAAACACAATGTGACATTTTGCCCTCGAAGCTCGTGTATGCTTAGGCACAGACTGAACTAATGTTGAACATGCTTCCCTGCGCTCATATAAAAAATGTATTCATAGACACTTTTTACTAGTTTTTACCCGACTGTTGTGTTGTGTGTTTTTCGAGTGTATGTAAGTATGTATATTTCTTTGGCACGGCCTACAGCCTAAGCGGCTTGACTGATTTTAGCCTGAGAGGAGACGTTAGATTCATCTCAATCGTGAGAGTGAAACTGACTTTATTAAAATTGGAAAAAATCAAACTGGCGGATTTTAGGTGTCATAACGTCATACATTTTTTTTTCTCAAAACCTATCGAGTGGGGTATCTAAATAAACTGCTTTTTAAGTAGTTTACAAAAATGTAAGGTACCTACTTAACTAAAAAGATTAAAATAAAATTATTATTGAAAAAACAAAAAACCCAACTGACTCAACTCAATGACTAATTCTTTTGTTAGTGATATGTAATTAATGCCTTTGACTGCATTTATGAACACTAAGTTGTCTTGTTTTTATCTTGTTTTTTAGTTCATTTTTACGCAGTTGGGGTTTTTGTTTATTTATTTATTTATACAATGAGTTATCGCGTCAAAGTCTTAAGGTTACGCTTGGCTCCAGTTTTGTGCCGTCTTATTAATGTTATTTTGTTATTATACCAAATGTTTGCGTTAAACGCTCTACCCGTGCCCGCGGGCGGGTTCGGACTTGTCAGTATACCCTCCGTAAGTACCCTCAAAGTAATAATGTCGTTGCCACCCGGGTTCGGTAGGTGCTTACAGCTCTTAATTAACCTTCGTGGAAAACGTGGGTAAAGCAAATTTTTAAACCATGTGGGGTTAGATTAAGCGGTAGAATTGTATGTTCAAATGCTTTAATTTTAACGACATCATAAATATTTGTATAAAATCCTAAGCATTTAAATAAGAATGATAATATTCGACTTATTTCTAGAGAACTCGTAAACACTATGTATAGAAGAAAATAAACAGCAATAAAAACACAAAATAAATGGTCTTTTTTCAGACAAATCAAATTAAATTGTGAAGACCTTCTTTAAATGAAAAGATTTATTTTGTGCCATAAAACCTCCCCTTTCGATAGTCATAAACTGTTCACATAAAGTGGATTAAGGCTGGGTTGCACCATCTTACTTTAACTATAACAAACATCAAAAATCTGTCAAACTTCATACAAAAACACCGGTCATCATTATAGTTACGGTTAAATAGGTGGGGCAACTCAGCCTATGTGTCTTCAAGGAAGCTTAGCACACAAATAACAATTTCTGCTTGAATTGTTTTTCAATTAAGCACCTTCACAGTTTTGGGATGTGCAACATCCAAGTGTGCGCCTGGATGCTGCACATCCCAAAACTGTGAAAACATATTTTGTGTGAATCTTAAAAAAAACAAGTAACTGAATAGCTTAACTATTCAGTTACTTCGAACGCAACAATGGGCCAAATGATTTGGTAAGATTAGATTGCCAGATAAGTAAACAATCTAGGTATTCCAAGTTGGATTAGCTCATTTAAAAATTACGTGTAAAAGTTCTGCAAGTATTCGTATCCGCTTTGTATTAGCTGTCGTACTCAATACACAGAATTACTTAATTATATTGATATAAAAGGAAAGTTTAATTTTTGCGTTCAACTTTCATCTGAGTAATTATCAGCCAAGAAAAATAACGTTCCGAAACAAAAGAATTAAGATATATACTACTTAAGTACTTACTCAAATTACGTTCCCACTTTGACGCATGTCGCCTGGCGCCGAGTGCCGACCTAAGACAATACCTTAATGCGTACTGCATTGTCTTTCCCAGACGACACACATGAGACTAATATTTTTCTATTGTGTGACTAAAGGTGAGGTGTAGGTGTCAGGTCCAATGTGAGGTCTCTCAAGGAGACTTATTTTAGTCTGCAGCGAGGCGCATTAAAAGGCAAAAATATTTTTCGAGAATCGTATAGCGAAAGCCAAGCACTCGCTTAATGGAAGTATCTATCCCATACTTCGAAATCAAATAACTCATCTGAATTGGAAGCTGGGCTGGTTATCCGCATATTTTTTTCTGAACCCAATCCAAATAACCGATGAAGTTTTACTACCAAAGATTAGTTTTTGCCTGCAGTTTTGTTCACGTGATTTTTCGCGCACATCTTTCACCTCCTCCACTTTTGCTTTGTATTATTTTAACTAACTTTTTTTGAACTGGAAAATGTTTTGAATTGCATGCCCATTGGCCTGGGGTCCAATGGGCTATGTGGGGCTCTCCCGGCAGGTCAGGGCCTACCCACTAAAAACCAGTCAGATCCCTCTGGTTGCGCTTAGTGGTACATAACGCGAGTCAATGGAGTTGTTGGTGTGCAGCCTCTCTTTTTGGGCACCCACACTCCGAGAAGACGTCCGAGCCTAGTCTAAGTCTAATTTTGAAGGTGCTTGAGACTTGATCTCGCTGTGTGATTGCAGCTGGAACTCATCGTGAATGCAGTGCTGCCTCGCGTGCCGGCCGGCCTGCAGGAGGCAGTGGGAAGGTTGCTCACGCGCGACCCGCACCCGCGCCCCACCTGCCAGCTGCTGCCCTTAATCAAGTACTTCAAGTAAGTGTCATCTGTACTTATAGGAGAGACTCTGCATATACAGGGTGGAAACGATAAGTGATCTCACTCGATTATTTCTAAACTACACAAGATATCGAAAAACTGGTTACTCATCCTGAAAGTGCTTCACGAGCTCTTTCTAACGGTATCAGTAAATAGTTACAGAATTAACTGGATCTATCCGAAAATTCAATGTTTTCAGCCTCCATACTAAATGTATGCCAGCCACACAATATTAAAAGTGTTATTTTTTTTTACTAAAATAATTATTCATGGAAAACATTGATTCTAGGCTTTACTTGCTATAATATTATCAAGACATGAGTGCCATGACTGTGGCAGTATGGAAGTATGGAAGTTGGAAACATTGAATTTTCGGATAGATCCAGTTTATTTTGTAACCTAATATTGGTACCGTTGGATAGATCTTGTGAAGCACTTTCAGGATCAGTAACCAGTTTATCGATATCTTGTATAGTTTAGAAATAATCGAGTGAGATCACTTATCGTTTCCACCCTGTATAGTTGGGTCGCGACAAGACATGGGGCGTTTGCATATCAACCCTGCGCTTAAAGGTTTTGTCATCATCATCATCTCAGCCATAGGACGTCCACTGCTAAACATAGGCCTCCCCCAATGCTTTCCATGTTGCCCGGTTGGTAACGGCCTGCGTCCAGCGCCTTCCTGCTACCTTTATGATGTCGTCGGTCCACCTTCTGGGTGGCCGTCCCACGCTGCGTTTTTCGGTACGCGGCTTTGTCAAGTGACTGGAAAAGACCGTGAGGCATCTGCTACACGAGGGCACCCGCGCCCTGCCTGCCTAAAATAGCTGCTGAAGGATAGATTTAGCACCAATGCATGCAGTTGGGTCACCAAGTAATTACAGGACTGTGTGTGGGGCGCCTGCAATTCTGCATCGTGTGAACCGCATCTGGTCAATATTTTTACTAGTTTACTTTCATATTAAGTCGTTAAAGTGACACGTAAATTAAAGCTCCTAAATGGATGTTCTACCCATACATAAACAATCTAACCCTTGTAATTCCAAAGAAGTCCGTCTTAGAACTCTACAAACTTCTATCTCCAATAACTTTGTTTCATAAATTGGAGCAACAGTTTTGTTGCGAACAACACTTATTAATCAATGTCGCTCTGTTCATCTGTCACAATCTGTAATTTGATTGGGACAGCCGATAACGGTGTACCCTGGTTATTACGTTACCCGCGTATTCCATAGGGCCTATTCCACGGCGGCTGCGGTGGAGTACTTAGAAGCAAACTTCGAAGATGTACTTAAATTACTTAATATACGGAACTGAATTAGTAACTTAGTTTGATTCAAGTTGTGCAACCATTGTACAGAACTTAACCTATATCCGGACCTGCTCATGTACTTTCACAAACAAAGATAGATTCAGTAAAACCTAATTTGTTACGTTAATAAAACCATCAGAATGTAGTTTATAGAAATGCAGTGTCGCTGTGTTGGACTGCCCGAGGTCAAGAAAAAAAATATTTAAAAATCATATTTAATTTGAGCGTTAAATTGTATGAAGAAATTAAATGCACTTTGAGGAGTCCATTAGCTTTGTATGGAAAATTTATTTTATAAGTAGGCAGTAGTGGAGATCATAGCAGGTATTGTCTGTCATTTATTATTCCCTTTACAAGTTTCAGTCTTGAAAACTTTCTTCGTGGTACAAACTTTAAGCCTCATTTTCCTTTAAGAAATATTCAAAATTGATAGTTCCATATTATGAACCCTCAAGGGTCTTTGTTGTCTCTTCGCCTGAGAAGATAACTTACCGATAATTCTATCCAACTAGGTGCCTATAATATACCCGCTTGAAGAACTTTCCTGCACCTAACTTTATTTAAGCGGCTTCCACCCGGGGCGTTGATACGGCTATGAATAAGCTAGTCGGTCCGTGCCCCTTCTTTAGTGTTCTAAACAAATCAGGGGTATTCAACCTTTTCAAAGAAATTGTAGCCTTTAATTTTAATAAAATTTTAATAGTGCGAGATCCTACTTGGAGCAACACAAGCTACACTGGAGTATCATTCATAACATAAAATCTAGGTACGAGTATATTCTGTTGTAAGTAGGTACTGTTCTGATGCACACATAACATTCAGCTTACTAGTCTAAACTGCATATTAAGTACTGTAAGATTTCTACAGTTAACTTGATTTAGCGATATCTACGTATCGTGCTTATCTGAATATATTTTGAACATTCCTAACGTTTTCACTTAACCTATCACAACCACTGAAAACAGTTCCTTAAAGTTACTCAAGAATTAAATGCACAAACTACGGGTTTAAACGTCTGCCTTGCTTTTTAAAATATTCCGATAGTACACCAACGGAAATTGAGTTCACCGGAACCTTTCCAATGTGGTTCTTGGAACGGATTACTAAGTAAACTGTTGCGGTGTGTGAATTCCAAGAAATATAATCTCGTAGCAGTTTACCTCGGCATCGTCTACGTGTAACGTACTTATCTTGAGAAAATAGCTTCGACTGTTCATGTCTGATTGTTCTTATAAAGGACTAAGGTATACGGAATGTTTTTTTACTATGTTAGCACAATGATCCTCTGAAATTCTAGCTGGGATCAAGGCAATTTGTAACGGTTAGCGCTAATCCATAGCAACGTGTTTTGTTTTACTATACAATCTCGTCATCAGTCATCAAATTACTTCCCTGCTTAGTAAAAATAAGTTGTGAAACTGGGAATGTGCCCGTGATTTTCGTAGGTTTTCGTACTTATTACGAGTAAGTTTATTGTGAATTTTGAGTTTAAAGTTTTGAACTCCAAAATACGAGCGAGCATTTATTGTAATGTGCGAACTCATAATATAATTTACTGCATTAATGAAAGTGTGGAACTACCGTGTAACATTCTGTAGTAACAGCCACAGGGTCGATCCAGACGTTTCGTTCCCTTAACGACCTTTGTACGGGCACTGGATATTGCCCCGGTAAATTACGTCAACATTTACCTTAGTAAGTGGATTTCCGTCTAATGTGAATGTGGCTTTAAAAACTTCAACGTGATGGAACGACAAACGTTTTAAAGTCGACTGCTTGCTTGCTTAGAAATGTACTCGTGTGATGTTGTAGCCATAAATTATGAATTCTAATAGTAAGACCGCTTGCCTGGCGTCTTATCATCATCATTATTTCAGCCGTGAGACGTTCACTGCTGAACATAGGCCTCCCCCAATGACTTGATATTGACCGGTTGGCAGTCTTAGAGGTCATGCATTCTAAAGCTTCAGTGATTTTGGAGCCAAGTAGGAACTACCACGTCATTTCGTTCGCTTCTAATATTCATGTCTATAAAACGCTCGCGGTACATTTAATTAACGTACAGTGATAGTTATAGTTCACATGGTCTTCATTAAATCCTTTTGAGTCATCCCTAAATGCTTCATGTTAAAAGGATATCATGTCATTGAAGCAAGATTGAACGCGAATCTCTTTCACAGCGCCAACCTACGCTATATTTTTATATTTTTACGAGATTGTATCTAATAATAATAAAATCCATTATTGGCTGTAAGAACCAAAATACCTCTTTGTATTATTATTATAAAGAGCTGTGATTTTCTGAATAAAGAAAAATAAAAATAAATAAATAAGGATAATAGTGTCGATAATTTTTTATATTACCTGAAGCAATTGGACCATTGCAGAGAGACTTGCTCGGCAATTCCGCCAGCGTCAACAAAGCCGGTTCCATTGCACTCAAAACGCCTCGAAGGAAAGCTATTTTAAACCAACAAAATAAATTGTGCCAGCACTCTTTACAATCTCTCCTGCTGTTTACACGACATACATTTCGGTCTTCGACACGTATGAAAAGAGTCAACGTGAGGCTGAAACTGCGTAAATAACATTTTTACAAACGCGACTTAAATTTTACTCCGTCGTTCCAACAGGTTGTTTAAGTTTTGATGAGACGGTCCGTTTTGTAGGAAACTTTCTGAAAGTAAATAATAAAATGCCTCTACGCTCGCTTGCTATAACTCCGCCGGACACAGGGTGCAATAGTTTTCCTATTAAGCCACCACAACTTTTCCCGTATAGTAAAACTATAAACTTAGCGCTAAGCCCACTGTCCCTCGGCCGGTCGCGCGCAACCTTGAAACTTTAACTGCTAATTTCAGTCCTAAACATATCTAGAATCTACCCACAGACGACATAAAGTACTACTTGAGAAGTTTGATCGTATTATTCCGACAGAACCGTTAACGCAAAGTTTTTGTTTTCTATTTACGATCTTGGGAAATCTGCCTTAGACCTCCATTATTGTACTGACTTTCCTTTGGAATTCGTACTTATTTGATTGTACAATTTCAGCTCGGAAACTTTACACTTAGGTCACCAACTACTTAAAGCCTAAAATGCCTAAAGATAAGAGAACTAAGTTTTTCCTAGAGCATTTTTACCAAGATGTATATTAATAAACATATTTTTGCTTAATCTTTTGTAAAAGTATTCTTTCCAAACTTTTAGTAAAATAGAGAGATTAGTCTAGAAAAAAGTTACAAATGTGTTTCGTTACATCAGGTGTGCCAGCGAGCCCGCCATTCAGGCCATGCAGTTCCTGGATGTAATCACCATGAAGGATCCCAACCAGAAGAGCAACTTCTATCGCACTACCCTCATCGATGCTCTGCCCTACATCCCCAAGGTAAGATCTTTAACTATCAAAATATTTCATTCCATTTTCTTTTACAATTTACAATCCTATTAATTTCTAAAGAAACGTCGCCATGGTAAATAATCCTTCAACCAGAGCCAATTCATCCAATTAAGCGCCACTATTCATTACAAAGTAGTCAACGAAGCGATGAAAAAGCCATTCATTTTCAAAGTTCTCAGTAATTCTCTCAATTAACACTTTGTCTGTCCAGGGTAGTTAGCGTTTCCAACGCCACGCGTCCTTTAATAAAATTGTAACTTTCTGAATTAAACGTGCAATAAACAGTCCCATGGCTTCTGACTTCTGAGGCAGATGCATGGAATTTTGAGTGAGGAAATACCGAATTAATTCTAGTTTAATTTTATTGTGATGGTAGTTTTTCTTTAATATTTCCGTACGGTACCTACCGTAATACTTATTTGATTAATATTAGTAGAAGGTAAGGTTTCGCTAGTCAGAAGTACCTACTCGTACTTCTGACTAGCGAAACCTTTTTTAATAAATTAATATTTTTTGCGCATAATAATATACGTAAACTGTACTGCTAATAAATACTTTCTTACTCCAAAAGTTGTCGTATGTAATGTTACTAGCATTAAGGTACCTAACTAGGTAGTTACAGACAGTAACAGAAACTTCTAGAAACAGTAGGTACTGTTTCTAGAAGTTTCTGTTTTGTTTCGTGATAACTAATGACTTTGTTCATTAATTTTACTGTAAACAATTTCTCTGTCTAAAAATGTGTGACTCCATATTTCAGAATCCAGCATCGCCACGAGTGTACGTATTTAGTGAAATAGAAATGTCTTACAGTTAACTCTTTGATTTCCACTTAACGAGACAAAGTGAAAGCAACTATCAAGTGTCATTCACTGCTAACTACGTACTTGGACTAGATAGACTTTACCTTTGATGGGCTAGGCCCGAGGCTGGTAAGAATTTGCCGTTTAATTAAGCTGTCATTGAACCTGTGCTTTGTAAAAGCAAGTGATTTATTACCTTCAAAGGGTTTAAGAGGCCACGTAATAGGTACAAATGGGTTAAACATACTGCAAATGATCACGTCAAATTCACGTTTATCAAGCAAAGGAGATTTGTGTGTAAGTATGTAGTAGGAGCATTTTGGAATCTTTAATTCCAGGAGAAGACTCAGTGTAAAGGTATCTTCAATAGTACGTATCTTAATCATTATAGGTCACATTTAAATAATGTTGTAATAAATATGGTTCACTGACTACAACTTTAAGCCGTAAATAATAAAGACCAAAAATAAATTACGTTTTATTTAAATCGTAATTTGACGGCTTAAACAGCTCTCGTGCTTCATAAATACCTAAGTCGATGATCTTAACTGCTCTTAATTACCTCGCTCGTTGTCTAAAGATCGTCGATAGGGATTAAAAAATATCCACATCAGTATTTTAATTAAAATACTCCGGATCGTAGAGGTTAAGCCAAGCGTTTACCTACTTGTTCTGAAATAGAGTATCTTTCAGTATTCAAGTGGAAATTTGAGTTTCAAATTCAATAGGATATTCGTTTAGAAGCCAACCTGGTAGCAACGAATGAAAATTATGAAAGATTATGAAGCAATGCGTTTACAAAAAAGCGACATGTTACGTAACTTCTAACCAGAAGTGGATAATTTTACCAAGGTACCTAATGTCTAGGGCAAATTAGCAAAAAGTGAGGTAGTAGGTAGCTGGAAGTGAGAAATATTGCTATTAGATATTAAAATTACAAATCGAAATTTTTTTATAAGCAACTTTCTCTGCTAATTTTATCTTGGGATCAAGATAGATAGATAGATTTAACAAAACAAAGTCTTCAATTTTGAACTTCTTTCTACAAGATGAGTTAGTCGGTCGACCATAATAAAGTTAAGTCGTTCAGTAGTCATTCGACTGCCAAACATATGGCTTAGAAAAATCATGAAAGAGAGTCGAAAGGTATGCCTGGTGACTTGCAGAAGTTGCGCTGGCAGCACGTGTGGCCAGCCCTACAGCTGGAGGTGCGCACAGCCGAGGTCCTGGCCGCTGTGCTGATGCCCATCATCTGGCTCACCAACGAGGCCTCGCCCGATGAGTTCTCCACCTACGTGCTCCCGACTCTGAAGTAAGACTGCTAAACTTGACTTTCATTAGGGACCAAGAATTTTCAAATTCAGAAACAGAACATTAGAACCTTTCGCAGAGTCGAATTCTGGATTATAAATCTGCTGTGATACTTTTGAAAAGTCAAGTTTTGTTACTGGTTCCTCCCGCTGGGCGCCTTTTTAAGTCACATACTTATTTATTATTGTCCATACTCTTAAGTTCTTAACTCTTGCTTGTTTGATGTAACATCTAAAATTTATTATATTGTCTTCAAATATTGTAATGTAGCATCCTGAACCCAAAAGAGGGTTCGTGGTGCAATCTAGCGTATCCGAAATGGCCTCCTATATGTCAATTATCGCTCAGCAAAATTTTCAGGAGCTTGATGAACTCACCGAAGAGCGTGCAAGCCACGGTGACCATGCTTGAGAACTTGCACGTTGTGACGAAAAAGTGCCAGCCCGATGAGGTCACTTATGACGTCATGCCGTTGCTCTTCACCGCGCTTGATAATAACACCAACCAGATTCAGGTAAAGGTCACTTTCATGGGTTTTAAACAAAATCAGACAGGAACATTAAAGGTGATAGTAGATGCAATTAAGGTGCTGAGGTAGGAAAAGAACCTACCTCACGGTCAATAAATCAATAATAGTGCCGAAGGTTCCAACGAGGGGAAAAGACACTACAAAGACGGTTGATATATTGCTGCTAATGATTTACTATATTATACATGATTGATTAACTGTACACAGCTAAACCTTATTACTAGTTTGTCTAAAGGATCCACGCAGTGCAAAAATTGCTATGCTATTAAGTAATAAAAAACGAAAACATTTTTTGTAACAAATAATAAATTATTCTTTTAGCGCGTTTGAAAATTTTTTCGAATCCCTGACCTACTTCACACTTCGTGTAAAAACATTTCACTGTTTAAATGAACGATTTTTATTTCACTATGGTCATAGCATTAGCCTAAGGCAAAACGTTAAAAGCACTGTAGAATATTTAATCTAATTGGACTGTTACAGGATTTTTGTAGTACTTTTTGTTAAAGAATTTAAACGTTAAAAACCGTACCTAGTCATTTTCAGATTCAATTAATTTCAAATTAACATGCTAATTCAATTTGTACTTTTTAAAATTATCGTATCACTTTTAAAAATTACATAGATTTTTTCTTGGGACCATTGGCTTCTGGACGCTTTTAGTGCATTTGTTGCAAAAAATGGAAAAATGGGAAAAAGTAAAAGTAGGTAGTTACTATTTTTTCATTTTACATTACAGACTGCATCCCTGATAGCTATGCAGAATATTTCTGATTACATCGATGACAAGTCCTTACACGGGATTGTGTTGGCAAAGGTGAAGATTCTGCTCGAGAAAAACCAGAGCGATGTCAAGATCATCAGCCTTATTCTGGGCTTCTACGAGAAGATCCTGTGCCGTCTCGAGAGGAACCACATCCTGGAGCAAGTGATTCCGACTCTCCTGAGCATGCGTCTCAGTGATCCTGATATAATCACTCGCGTTGTTAGTAAGTATCGACTCCAAATAAAATATTTTGACACTGTTCATAATATTCGCTTTGATTCATGTTAAGACGTTTTTGCGAAGTCAGAGCAACAGCGACCGTCGAGCATTTATCGCTGTGCGAACTTCAAAAGTTTCAATGCGAATTTCGACAATTGCTAAGCGAAATTAAACTTAAACTTGTTGAAAATATCAACTGTGCCATTCATTCCAGAACTTTACAAGTCGATGCTTATGGAGAGGAAATTCGGTTTGACAACCAATGTTATGGCCACCAAGATGATTCCAGCGCTGGCCCCTCAGACCATCAACCCGGCACTGAGCATTGATCAGTTCACTAACTTGATGGAGGTAGTTACTTGCGGAGTCTTTTAGTAAACCATTGAAGTTTTTCTTATAGTAATTCATATCGGAATTAAGATCATGTACTTTTTTGTTTAATATTCGAGATTTCTGCAGAGTTGCATGAGCTATGATCACGCACATCCACGACCATGGTGTTGTATGCGACTCTGCTAATCAAAATACATACAAAATACAAATTCCGATGTAATCATTTCGATTGTTATTGAAGCGTTGAAGTTAGTTTATCTGGAGATATTCGTTCTTACTGAACTGGTTTGCGTCACAGATCTTGTACGATATGCTGGACAATATCGACCATAACCAGCGCTACAAGCTGAAGCTGGACAGCTTGACGCTGCCGAGCCCGGAGCGCCACCGCCCGCTGCGCCACCAGATGAGCACCGACAACATGACGGTGCCGCCCTTCAACATCCCCAACCTGCGCGTGGAGCAGCGCAAGACCTCCAGCGCCGAGGACATGGCTCGCAAGAACTCTGTCACTGCTACCACCGCGCCCTCTACCAGCGTGGGCGGGGGATTCAAGAGTAAGTATCTGAAACAAAACAGCAGTCACAGACACGCCTCTAATTAGCAAGAAGACACTGTAAACTTTAATGATCTGTCAAAACTATGCTTCTTTATAGACTTTTAATGGAATAGGAATCACTAAACAGGAATAAATATACCTAAATGAGGCAGGTAGGTTATTGTTCTTTCAATAACTGGGGTCAGCATTCCTTCTAAGACATAATATCTATCTTATTTACGCTATTCAATACTCATCGCATCAATATATCCGACTACAGGCACTGGAATCGGCCAATGGTTCTTCGGCTCTTCCAACTCTAACAGCAATGATAACAACTTCTTGCGCGTGGCGAGCGCGTTCCCCAACCGCCGCCTGTCGGACAACACTCTGATGACGCCCAAGATCCGCATCGCGCCCTCCTGCGCCTCGTCCCCCGGTGGGACCCCGGGAGGTAACTCCGGCCTGCCCACGCGCCGCCACTCCAGCATCGGGCCCCAGGAGCGCCGTGGATCCGCGGTGAATCTCTCGCCGCCGACTGTAAGTTACATCTCTCCTCTTTGCACCACACACTTTTGTATTTGACACAAACACACTTACATTGTTACAAGTTTAAATAAACTGTGAACTTGAGCCGAACAGACTGGTGAAAGTGGACAGTGGTGCCAGTGCTCTTGTGAACAATGGTGTGCGATGGAGTCTTGTGAAGTTACACAGTGTAGTGACAGTGCTTGTTTTGACAGGGCTACCAGTACAGGGGACGCGGCGGCTCAGGCTCGAGCCTGTCCGTGCCGTCGGCTTCGCACAGCGTCGTAAGTGATGTGCATCCAGTTCGACAGCCTGGCTGCGTGACCTCCCCGAACCCTCTATTGAATGTCGACTTGGAACGGCTTCACATTGATGTGGTCTATATTCTTCTGCGGTTGCGTCTTGTTCCCACACCGACTGGGGGAGATAGTGTCTCATCATTCACACCATTACCACACACTCACATCTGCACGAACCTGGTTGGAGTTGTATCACAGCGAACTGTCTCTATCCAATCATTAGACCTTACCATTGCATCGTACTGAACGCTATTACTTCCACTCCTGCGAGACGACTGATACCGGCAACCTTCAAGGAAAATGAAGTGGTGCATGTTCTATTACTGTCTTGTGAAGTACCGCGATGCATGTGCGCCTTATCGCGACGACTGTGTGCAAGGGACCGGGAGAGTAGTGCCTCCCGCTCCCTCCCGTAGGCTGTTCGATGTGTCCAACTGCAAGTGTGCACCAGCGGTGATCCCTCCCGAATCGGTGTTGTCTACCTAACGTAACCACGAAACACCGTTTGTCTATCAATTGGCTTTACATATTCCAGCTAACACAAGTTTGAAAATTAAGTATACTTTTCCAAATTGTCCAAATTTTGATTCAACACCACTGATGTGACTTTGATATTTGTGAAACGCTCGCTAGGTGTAGTACTCGTATAAATGTAACAGTTCAAGATGTAAATGTTAAATGTTTAATGTGCGAGATTGAATCGTAAGTAAGAATTTCATCCTTTCCCATCATAAAGGCGGTACGCCGAACGTTAAACGCTGTCTCATTCACTGTTGCTATTTGTTCTTCTACGCAGCTTGCACGGAGCATGATCGTGAGTATGGTTCCTCTCTTGCGTGCGCTGCGCCCGCGCAGGACCACGCAGACATACCTCTGTTCGCTGTATCAATCATTCAACTGTTTGTATATCGCTGCACTAAGATGTTGCCTATAACCAAACCTAAGAAACCGATTGGTATATTTTCACTGACAAAATTACACATTACAAAAACAAACCTTTCTCTCATTGACGGCAACATCTCCGTGATAAACCATCAGTAGATTAGCTAAGTATTTCTGAATCACGAGAAGTTTTCAAATGCCCAACACGCTTTAAATGCTGATGATACGTACCTTATAAGGCATGCAGTAGTTAAGCTACTAATGGCTATAGGTACTATTTTTAAGTAACTAGCTATAACTTTATTTTTATGAGAGAAATAAACGGTAATTGGTTTCCTGACTAAACTGGAGGGACGCTATCATTTCGGGACATTAATTTTTATCTCATTACACCACCAACCGTTTTTTGAATTGGCAGCAACAACATTTTCATAATTATTTATTCAAAATTTTGCATATTTTTTTAAGATATCTCAAGAATCTGCATGTGCTGTGGTTTAACTCGACTAACGTGATTGTTTATGTGCGGCATAGGGCGGTTCGATGCCGAACACTTCGTCGAGCGTGCCGTTCCTGCTGACGTCGTCGATGCAGTCGATCCGCTCGCGGCGCCCGTCGGCCATGAGCAACTCGCAGGGCTCCGGGCTGCTGCAGCAGCTGAGCAGCGGCATGGTAAGACATCTGCCGGTGGGCTCGCATGGCGGGTCGCACCACCACTCCCCGCACTGGAGCGCGCTCCAGGGCGCCACGGCTGCCGGGTACAGCGCGCTCCAGCACACCGTCCGCAAGTGCCCCTCGCTCAATATCACTCTGATGCGCTAAACGCCCGCGCCCGCCAGCGACGCTCCGTGGACACTCTAACCGTCTCCGATCTTCTCGCTTTTGTAACAGTTCTGCCTGCAATGGCGATCCCCGTCCGACCCTTGTATGTTTAGTAGTTTATCACTATCGATGTTGTATTTAACATTAGATTTATTTGCGACTATTCTTTTAGAGAAAAGATCTGTCATTTTATTCTACGGAGACTTTCTGTTATACTTGTTTATGGAGACTAATTTCGCTTACGGAACATAACCATCATTTCGGAAAGTATGCCAGATTTATGAAAAAGGGATTGTAGAGCTTTAATGGGTATTGTGGACATATCACTCTCAACTTCGATCATGGAAAATAAATGATGTCCAAATGTTCTTTAAATTTCGAGTAACGGAAGTTAAAACATAACAATAAAGAATGTTAAGTACCAAATGGTAGTATACAGCGAGAAGTTGTATAGTGGTGCTGTGATAATGGTATTGTAATATGAATAGATACTACGTTAAAAATATTAATAAGAAATTAACCTCTTCTGTTATTATAATCATCTATATTATTATATATTTATATAATTAAAATATAAAATATATATACTTTAACTTGACAGCCTTGAGTTTCAATGGCTTTAAAGAAGAAAAGAAGGTTAACGTGCCAACTTGTAAAAATATAAAAAAAATTGAGGTCACATCCATAGGGTTTATGAAGTATACGTAATGAAGTCATGCAGTGAAACACTGATGGAATATACTTTCTGAATGCTGAAACAGGTAGAGAGATGTAAGTGACAGTACAGAGAGTACCAAATGTTCTGATTCGTGTTTACAGCCAGGTTATTGTATAAGTTCAGACTTTTAGCCTCTGATTCATCGTTGGTATACCTACCTACACTCAATTTTCATTAACATTACATTACAAACATTTAGCTTGTATTTAGTTATAAATAAACAGATGTAGCTAATTAGATTTTTGGTTCCTTCAAGATTATTACAATACACGTATTGTTAAGTAACATCTTAAAATATTTGTGAAATAGCTGGTATTGTCTAGCAAGGTAATGTTCGCACTCACCAGTCCAATTCCTCTAACTACCTTTATCCGCGAAAAATTTGCTGACCTATGTCTATGATTGGCATTCTCATTATCCTGAAAAATAATTTGGCATAGGTCTTTCCTAATCTACGATACAGCACCCGGTCCCCACCCTCCGATTCCAAACTTCCCCGAAAGATATACAACCACTGACATAAAATTGACGATCCATCAAGCCAAGAAGTACCATATTGAAAATTAATTGGCACTCGGCAATTGTCGCTAGTTATTGTGACGAAAATGACCTGCCCAGTTGAACTGACTATTTAAACTAACTCCACGTGCAAAATGGTTTAATACTCAACGAGTTACGTGTCTCAGCACCGACCATCCTGCGATGGTTGAATTTAGTACTGACCATGATTGCACTATACCTACCAAGATAAATGCTCCCAGCATAGCAGCCTCTAAAAGTTATACAGAGCGCCCAAGGAAGCAAGCAGTTCATCAAAATATCCACCGGTTTCCAGGTAAACCGCAAATAATTTAAAACACTTTTGTCTCAAAATCGAATAAAGTATTACCCCCACCTCTGACCTACCCTTATTTTTTTTCTGTGCCTCATGAGCCTATCCAGGAGATTTCAATAACGATAAAACCTTCAATTGTTTTTGAATTGTTTGCTCCTGTTCCAGTGGCCAGCTCTACTAAATAATTTTGACAGAGACATTTTACAATGTGACCAGGTAAATGTGTATAACTTTTTTATTGCTACTAGGGAGCATCATAATCATTCTGTCCAGACTGCAACACCACGTTTTGACTTCAGTTTCGTTAATTTGCATTTCCATTGGTCACTAATCTTCTTGATATTGTTTGGAATGGCATGTATTTGAGCGGTGGGTCAGGACTACACCAGTCCCGGTGAGTCCTTGGTCCCACCATAGACCCTCAATAGCGCATTCGATCGGTCGAGTTCGAGTCAAGTACCTTAGCGTAGACCTTGTCCCGTTTATTTTACAAGTTCCGATTTGGCATTGTTAAATTCGTAGTTTGCAAGATAATAGTTTTTTCGTATAGAAGCATAAAGTTCACGTAGCGTAGACCGTAGAGCTTCGTAGAGTAAAGTCCGCGTCACGAGAAACGAAAAATTTTAGTGTCTGTCTAATATTAACAACTGAAATTACACTCAAAATACAAATTTCTAATTTTAACCAAACTTGATTTAGTATGTAATATTGTAAGACCAACATGGACTTGATTTCAGTGGTTTTGCTCCAAACTCTACGGAGCGTGTTCAATAATAGCATACTTACAGAAATCGAAACAAAATTACCATTTATAAAGAAACTAGTTCACACCGCCGGGATTTTTTCTTTTGTACTTTTTGTTAATGTTTCAACTGAATTAGTTTTTCATAAAATCAGGGAAACCATTCGGCAGAATGTAGCTTCTCGTGGCGCTGACTTTAGTGTAGCGGGCAGCGGGCCGGCGGCAGCAGCGACCTCCGGCCTCGCACGCGCTTGTTTTAATCACTTTTATTTGTGGTTGCTTGCAGTACCAGCTGTTTTCCGGGCGTACGTAAAGAGAATTTGATTAACGTTAGAGCGCGTAGCGTAAACGGAGCGAGTTGGCGCTAGCGACGCACCACCGGCCCGCCGGCCCGCCCGCCGGTCCCGGCAGGCCTCTGCGCCCGACGCGCGTCGACGCCATGCGCACCTAATATCCTCACTTATTACATGAGCTTCTATCTTTAATACAATTAAATCAAAATTATTTAACGCAATATCCTCCTCAGTAGCAGTACGGTTAGTGTATGCATCGGCCTAAATGCAGGAATAGATGCGTTATGACATGACAACTAAAGTAGAACTGACAAAATGACACTGTTTTAAGATTTGAAGTTTATAAGAATGCAATGCATGTTGACTGTGGATACACCAAATTTTTTTGTTTACCTACATATTTTCGTTTCTCAAACTCGATCATGCTTGAATGACTCGATAACTCGTAGAGCTGCTCTATGACAGTGAAGGGTACAGATAAAGACAGGGCTTGTCCTGTATTAGCTTTTGGGAACCTTCGTAATTCAACTCCAATAGTTACTATTTTATTTAATGTATCAATTTGATAGATATTTTTCTTTGTTTCTTTATCTAAATAGTATTAATTTAGTACTATTTCGTAGAGTTGTTAGAAAGAAACATATCTTTGTGTACTAATTGTGATTTTTGTAGTTGAACTGCACTAATTTCTTAAAATCATCACAGGTCACACTGTTATTTACATGTACCCTTCAAAATAATATTTCCGACAACATCCTGGAAATATGTAAAGACCTAAATCCGTGTTACTATACGATTTCAGAACAGCAACTTAGCCTTTTTACATTATAATTTTCAGGCAATTTCAGGAGAGGTGAGATCGCGACGAACTCGTCGTTATATCGCCACGATTTGTTGATGATTGCGGCGATATGTCTTGTGCACGTCGCGGTCTCAGCTCACCAAAAATCGCCGGCCAAATAGCTAGTGCGAAAAGGCTCTAAACTTAAAATAGGTATCAAGTCATTTCAGCAATTTCATTCAGCACCCCTTCACGAAACTTACGTCGCTTGTCGTGCACTAAGTTTTAAAATTCTAAGAACAAAATGTCTCTACCTAGAGAAGGACGATCGATGGACACGCGATACGAGCTGACTATCTACCCTCATGTTTCTCCCTAAACTGTGGTACTTTGTAGACATCATAAAGCTAATACATTATTCAAAATCTTGAGGGAATCATAACTATGATTGAATTATTTAGGTACCCGTTACATTACACCATAAGCGAGGTCAAATTACCGGGCTCTGGGCCTGTTTCATTAATATAAGCAACAGTCAATGTTGCTTTTTAGAAAATCAAGCATTTTTTAGGTTGAACACCAGAGAATAGAATTGAAGTTACATAGCAACACCATAATTTTTTAAGAGTTTATGAAAACTTTCGTCCATGACTCAGTGATCTATTCCTACTCTTGCGCTGACGTCATTGCCTATACACATTATGCAATATGGGTCAGGAACTAAAATTATAACTTTTATTACCTACTTATTTTATAATTTACATTTAAATATAACGCTATGAGTGGCAAATAAACTCATTGTGGGAACGTAACGATTTTATGGACTTCGACGTGCGGTGAATGTGTCAATCCGTACTTAAAAGATGCCAAATGCTAATAAATTGTATAAGTATCTATTTTACTTAGGATGTAAATTAATAGTAATATGAAACTATTTGATTTGAATTTGAAATTAGATGATACGATATTATTTTATTCAGGAACAAAGTGCCTATTGTTTTTAAAATAGAATATTTATTACATAGTCTTTTGGAGAATATTGATTTGGATTATGCGACTTTTTTAAATATCATAAATCATCGTGTGAATGATGAATTTAGATAATAAATGGGATGTTGCCGTCGAAGCGGCTTTGCGAACGAAGGCACTATAAAATAATTTGAAATTAAACTCATCGTTAGGCAAAGAAAAGTAAATGGGCGACATGGGCGTGGCGGGATATTAAACAATACTTTGACCACGATTTACCACATGTCATGCATATCAAATCTTGAAAAAAAAAACTGAACCCATTTAGACCTACCGTAGCCTATGTGGTACGGTATATTTTTGAAAATATTTTGAAGTACCAAACTGTTGTTGAAGAAACTAGCATGGTATCACTCTATACACTTAAACCTCCTCTGTGAGTGAGTAGGCACTCACCAAGGAAGTGCACAATGTACTTAGGTAATTCTTTAGACTGCATGGTGCAAGGTGTTGCGAACAATATCACGAATGAGCTAATGAGTAAGTACCTGTTTTATAACAAATCAAATACAGTTTACAATCCGACTGTACGAGTAAGTCGTGAAAAATATACGTTTTGTTAATATTTGTGAAAAGTTTATTCAAATTTTAAAAAGATTGTTCGTCATTAAAAAAGTAGAATTATTACTTACTTATCTCTATAAATTTTATCGAAATGTTTGATTTTATGTCGTTACATATTATATACAGAGCATTTAAAGATATAAAAATACGAATTGAAAAGAAAAGAACATATTTTAAAAAACATATTTAAAAAAATATTTATGATTGTTGAACAACAGCTTCTGTATTTTTATATAGCATGGAGCACACACTCATTGAAATGGTATCTACGTATCTTTAAGGAAGTCCAGAAAGTGAGAAGTAGAGATAAGCCATTAGAGGTTGAGATAAGGTGATAGGTACTCAACGTCTATGGAAGTATAAAATATATATTAAGTATTTATATTGATGTTGTAAACTTGTCCTGAAGAACCTTTGCCTTTATTGTTGCTATTATAATATCTTATAAAATGTACATATATTTTATAGTCTATTATATGTATCATAAGTCAAATTAACCTGATTTTCTTTAAATGAATTACATATTTATAAAATCTATCAACTTATAGCACTGTAAGTGAATGTGATGTAGGATAGTGGAGTGTATGGCTGGAGAAAGAATGCTTAAAGATCGGAGTCGCCTAATGACGAGGAGGTGAAAAATAAAATGTAACTTGCAAACTAACTATCGTTTACATGGAAATCATAACTTAAAGGCATGTGTGTCTTCGTGAAAAAGAAAAGTAAGCTGGACAGTTTGATATTATTTTGATTTGTAACCTTGCCCACCTCACCTTATCGCATCGTTGCAATCGACCACTCAAGTATCTTGCATTCACTCTTCTACGGGTTGTGGCGTTTGCTCAGTGTTAGGTAACTGATATTATTGTGTGTGCCCTAAAACTTATATTCAAATTTACCTTTTAAAATGTTTACTCGATGTGATTCTAAGGTATACCTATACTAAACCTTCCTACTGTAACTTATCTAGATTAAAATATATTAGCATTTTATCAAATATTGTGCTATCTTGTGATCTCTCTGTGAAATTAGAACTTCTCTAACTTGACTTCATAATATAGATAAGATAATATGATATTCGACAATACTTTTATAGGCTCTTTCTAATTCCTTACCGCTTAATATGTATGAAATTCTTCACAAAAAGACTTTTAGGCTATTGTGGTTGAGCTTACAATCGGGTTGACTATAGATATTTACTGTTTTTAATCATTCTACCCCTGTTAAATATTGGAAATGTTGCCTTACATTTAATTTGTACTGAATTAAAGTACCTATGTCGACTCAATACATTCGGAACAACAGACTTCGGTCATTCATTTACTTACTATTATTTGAAAGTTCTAACATATCATTCTAAGATCTTCTACTCTCACTGTATCCCTACATTTCCTATAAAATTTTCGATTTAATGGATGTAAACATATTAATATAGTAGTAGAAGAACGATCCACTCATAAAATTGAAAAATATATTATAAAATACAAAGTTATTCTGCATGTGAATGTTAATGTCAAGTGAATATTAATCCACTCTTAATTGCATAGATTTTAAAAATACTTATTCAACAATATCATATTATATGTAATGTTAACACACAGTTTATGTAACTTAATGATTGTAATCACATATTTAACAACTTGAGATAATTACATATTTCAGTAGAATGGATGTTATAGTTAATTATATTAAATGTTATCACACACAGGAGATTTAATCATAGATGAATAGTAAATATTAAACTGGAAAGTTAGACGTATTATAATTACGTATAATTATGTTATCCATTGTCGTTCTATTTATGTATACGTGGGCATTGTAGAAAATTAAAGATATAATAAACAAGTAAAATATTACAATGTTGTTTCACTTGCTTAACCTAACCCCGCTTTCCTTATTTTTAGCAAATCACGTCATGATCTATTCCATTGCTATGTACCTACTTACTATACTTATTTTTATTTATTTTATGGGTGCATTGAATCAAACTTACCTAACCTATTAAAATACTAGCTTTTGCCCGCGCCTTCACCAGTGTGAAATTAATTGTGTCACAGATCATTACTAAATAAATAGCCTAAATAGTTATTATTATTAACACCTTCGCTGCCAGCCTAAAAATGGCACTGTTCCGTTCGGGCCATGGGGGACAATGATGGGCGACACTTTAACTTTCCGTTCGGGCCGCGTCGGACAATGATGACCGCGAGTCAGACCTATGTTTAAACCTCTGTATTGAGCCAATGGGCAGCATTTCTTCAATAATTCTCATATAAGCTGACCCGCGCGGCTCCCAAGATTAGTGTACGTCACTTGGTTCTTAGGTAAAGCTCGGACTTAGAAAAAAAAATGTGGATAACGGTANCAATAATACTGTAGTTTCATCAAAATCCGTTCAGTGTGCTTACCATGAGTTTACGTTAGGTGTGCTCGCTAGCGACTGCGTAAAAAAATGACATTTAAATGTATGACATATTGTGCAGCGCCCCCTAGCGGCTACTTTCAAGAAATAAAATCTTCATAACGTTTTTTGACGTTCTCGCTAGCGAGCACACCCACCTAACGTAAACTCATGGTAAGCACACAGTAGTGTTTGCGTGAAATATAACAAACTTAGCCTACCTAGGTACATCCATTTCATTCTTACCAACTTTCACATTTATAATATTACTTGTAGTAAGGTAAGTAATATTATTACAGGATAATAGTATGTAGTATGTGCGTACGGTTAGGACGATGTTTCAGACTCCTCAGATTGTCTCTGCTGTCTGTTCTGGGTTCGAATCCTAGTGAGGGCTAATGAGGGTAACAACCGGCCAGGCTTCCCTGTTGTAATATAAAAATAACCGCATACTTTCATCGGCTGGTATCTCATTAGTAGCCAGGACTTGTGCAGCCCAATGTCGACCTCTAAATGAGTACAGAGGTAGGTATACTAAAGTCGTAAGACCGAAGTTTAAGTGACTTGCCTAACCCAGAAGGGTTCGTGATCGCGATGCAAGCCCGTTATTAAAATAGGTACCTACTACTAAAGTATGTACGACCAACGAGAAGCGATACCAAGTAAACAAACAAAATGTCTTGAAAAATGTCATGAACTTAAGGAATAGCAGGGGTGCATAACTTTTTAATAGTTCGTTTACATAATATTTTACATACTTAAGTAAGTAGGTGTACCAGAATCTCATGGCAAATGGGGAAAATAAACTTTGTTCAGTGCAATACTGGGGAAATTGGATTAAACGATCTTGATACTGTTTAATTTTTAACCGACTTCAAAAGGGGGTTATTTTATATGACTTTAATATTAATTAACATGAAGTAGGTACGAACGTTTTAGTTATGTGTATGATTGTTGTCATACATCGGGTTTTTAACATAGGAAAATGTCTTGAAAAATAAATAAATCGTATAAGTATGTACCTAACTAATTTTATTATGTATCATACAGTCATACTAATAATTTATCACATCATTCAGAACTAGAAAACGATTCTAAGAACTCCACTTGCATTTCTTGTTCTTTAATAGATGATCAAGATAAAGAGGTATTTATTATAAATCGCTTTTCCAGCATTTCAATTAAGTATTCAATCTTGCGGTGACCAGAAGGCTGGGATCTACCTTGGCCAGCGTCTAAGCCTCGTCATTCAACGCGGAAACGCTGCCAGCCTTCTGGGCACCGCTAACCTCAATGACGGATCTGGACTAAGTTATAACTTATAACGTAGTCCAACTTATAAGTAAGTAGTGGAATTGAATGAAACTTGTATTAAAATGTACCTATCCATTAAGGAGAATAACCACTTCAAGGTATAGGGTTATTAATCGTCAACAGGTTATTTTGCCAAAATAGCTAGATAGGAATCGAAGAAAAAGAAGCCTTACTTAACTACTTAACTGATTCGTGTACTTTTCCTCTTACGAGTATTTAGTCTCCCCGCAGACCACAGACTTTCTGTCACTGTTAATCCATATTATGGACGTGTATGAAAATGCGCACATTACATCGGTCGATTCTTCATGCCTACTAACTTGAAGTTGACCCAACTATCGGTAGTCTCATGTTAATAATTATCTCAGGAATATTGGTCAATATCTCAATTGCATTTATGTATATCTGATTTTCAGTACCTACCCAGAGCACGAATAAATACCTTACATATCGTTCTCGCTGTTTTTTACGAGATGTTTGGTACGAGTATGTTTACCTAAACATGAAAATCGTTATTATTTTTGCATGTTCGATTCATCATCAACAACAGCCCACTACTGGACTATGATACTATGATTCACTTGAACATAAATTACTTAGAGTTTATTATCTACATAATATTATTGTTTTGTCTCATTGTACATACCTAAATATTGATCAAGATATATGGAAGTTTTTAAGAATCTCCGCGAGTTTACATCGAAAACAAAACACGCACGATGGCCCACCTACAGGATACTATTCGACAAGGCCTCACATACGAGCGAACATTGACTCACGCACGCGTATTCTTGTGTATGATGGAAGAAAATAAAGAAAATGGTGTACTAAATACTGTGCAGTATTTAACTGCCTAAATAATAATAAAAACACAGAATGTACTTTTTTAAGTTGCCTCAAGACACTGAGAGGTAAATAAGTAGTTAACCTGAAATAATATATGATTTAGATATCCCTAAAAATTCTCTTGACGCTAAATATAAATTTAACTTAATTATTGAAGATAATTGGGCCGATTGGCATCATATATATAGCGATGCATCCAAACACTCCAACGATGGTGTGGTCGGAGTAGGGCTTTTCCATCATCAGTATGGTATTCATGAAAAGGTCAGATTACCTCCTGAAACATCAGTTTTTACCGGGGAGTGCTGTGGAATTTATAAAGCCATAGAATATGTCCAAATTATGAAACTGAAAAAAACAGTAATTTTTGTAGATTCTAAAAGCGCTTTACAAGCCTTAGGAAAATTTCCCTTTAAATGCAATAGTCAATACCCAATTGTAATCCAATGCAGAGAGTTGCTTCATAGATGTTCTATTTTGGGGTACAAAATAATCTTCGCCTGGATTCCGAGTCATAGCCACATTTACGGTAATGAAAAGGCTGATAAATTTGCCAATGAAGCTGTTGTGAATGGTGATATGATTAGTTATAAAAATTACTGCCATGACCTTTTGTCCCTCCCTAAGTCCTACTTGCGTGAATCATGGGAATTGGATTGGGCGCACAGCAGTGCAACCAAAGGAAAATGGTACAAGCTCATTCAACCTACCATTCCTATAAAACCATGGTTTTTTAAAATGAAACTGGGAAAGATTTCTACCTCTAATATTATCCGTATGAGAATTGGCCATGCTTGTATACCTACGCATCTTTTTAGACTTAAAATTGTGAATTCTGATTTGTGTGAGTGTGGTACTGGCACAGGTGACTTAAATCATCTGTTTTTCACTTGTCCATTACATGACCGATCCTCTTTCATCGAATCCCTTAAATCTTTAAAAGTACCATTTCCTACTTCCATAGCCTGCCTCCTAAATATGCATGATAATATTGATATTTATAATACCCTTTCCGTATATATGAATAATAATAACATTAAAATTTAATTTTTATGTACATATCCTGATTATAATATTTTGTTCTCTCCTTTACTTTCCTGATCCTTTGCACCTTTTTTTTCCGTTTTCCTTTTTTTTACTTTCCTATACGTTTCCCTACCTTTACCTTACCTCGTCGTGGCTGACGCACAAGCCGTGCATGCCATAATAGGAAAAAAAAAAAAACATTATTCATGCTAAATCATGTATTTCCTCCGCCATTTTCCGCAGTTTGGCACCTCACGTCACATCATTTTACCGAAGTCAGCCCTATAGCTTCGGCACAGTGCCGATCACTGACGTTTGTCAACAAAATGGTGCTTGACTCTTGAGACAGGCTAAATTACACCATATTATTAATGACATTGAGCATACATTTTTTTAAATACCTTCGCGAAGTAAAACTTCTGTACGTAGTGACGTAATACTTATTCTGTGGTACTACTCGTAGTACTAATAATAGGGTACTAACTAGTACTAGTACATGTAGGTATGGGTCAAAATCAGAGAGGTGAGCATTATGCTTCTGACAAAGTTTTCCTGAATAAAATAACACGATATTACTAAAATATTTATTTCAAAATAAAGGTTCTGTGCATAATTACACGGCACATAGCTTATTTATCTTTCTATACTTATGTTTTATTTGATTTTAAACAAAAATGGTCGAAATAGTCATTCCGGGAACGCGTCCTTAAATCATGTTTCATAGTTTAAACAAGCCAAAAATGTTTATAATTAAGACTTAAAATTGACATATTTTAATATTAACATTGAAAAATATCAAATTAAGAATATACGTATAAAATACATTAATAGCAGTTTAATTTCTTTATATTTAGACTATTCAAATGGTGTCTGACGTTTATTAAATCATTCCGTGAACGCTGTCGATGTTGATCGATGTAAATAAAAGAACACACGCTACGTGGCGTTAGCGAGCATCAGCGTGAAGTTCACTAGTCATAGCAAAAGGCGTGTTTATTGTTTACGGATAAAATTAATTTATTTTGTTGGTAAGTATCTTTTAAATTGACGTGTGTGAAGCGTACTTTAATTCCCTGTCACTACGGGAACGCTGTTTGATGATTAGTTTTTCGAAAGGAGAACAACCACTTTCTATGAAGCGTTGGGCCCAGTACTAAGTTATTTGTACAGCTACAAATTTTATGTCGTTTTTATGCCTTCATAAACTAGTTTATTATTGTGTTTATTTGAGGTTGCTAACTAGTGTCATTCTCGAGAAAACTAAATTAGAAAAAACTAGAAAAAAAAAATACTTTTATACAAAATTAAGTCGTCAGTTACCCAAATCGCAAGCAGAATCCGTTAGAAATAGCATAAAATGTTATTAATCGATAGTTTTATTTCTTCTTCTTCTTTTAATTCGTTTTAATTCAATTCAACAAGCATTCGCAACAGTATCACCTTTTAATCTATCTAAGCCTTTAGTCATACTCTCTAATCTGTGGTCTCATCTGTGATTCGCAAGTGACATTGCTGCATTGACAGATGACAAAACGAATTATTTTCATTCATTAATTCATTCAATCACCTACCAGCGTTTCAATACAAAAACTTGTCTGGTGTATGAATACACGGATCAGTGTGTGTCATAATGTTATGAGTAAGTACGGTTCCTGGAGATCGGTATGAGTGCACCACATACAGGGACCATGGTTTTAATTCTTAAGAGTACATCGCAGGATATGTATTAAAAACAATGCTACTTTATATTTCTTCTACTGCTACTTTATTCTAATTTATTATTTCTTACTGTTAATTACAATTCTCAATCCGTAAATCATTTCTTCTTTCTACCGTGTTCGTACTACTGTCCTCGTAAAATCATCGTAACCGATTGTTATAATCGGATTACATGAACATCACTCGACCATGTATGTCCATTTGGACATATCGGAATGGCACGCTTTGACGATCAACTTGCTGTATCTACTCTAATCCATATCTGTGCATTCAATCATTTTAGTTTTGTCATCTGTCAGTACAAACCTTCTTAAAGATCAAATACACTGAATTGTCCCACCCGTGACATTGACAGGGGGCGCCACCGTCAATACCGGATCGCTGGTTCCGATTTTTGCCATGTTAGAATTATATAGTTGAACGATGGTGGCGCCCCTCTGTCAATGAGTTTGGTGGGACAGTATAGTGTATTGAGTCTTTAATCGATTGACTTTTAACGTTCCATTTTACGTTATCTTAGATTAAATCATTAATTCGTTTTTATTATTGTATACGACTTACGACATCAGTTAAAATTATCATTTTTACCGTAAAATACTCCCTAATGTATGCGTAATATAATATCAAAAACCTACCAATGTACAACTCTGTACAAACTTGGGCCCAAAATGGTTGTTCTCCTTTGCAAATATTTTGCTAAATTCTTATAAATATTACAGCTCACTTGTTCATAAACTCTAAAAGCAAAATCTAAAATAGCGGCGTCAAGCGCGATATGAAAATATTTATCAAAAAATCATTCCGGGAACGGTCATTTCGGGAACGTTCTCGTATATGACAGGCGTTCCCGAGATGACAATCTTTGGGCAAAATGATGCTCTAATGCTTTTAAAAGCTTAACCATGCAAAATTTTGCTTTTAGGTATTCATTTAATACGATCAACATGGAAAACGATAAAAATTAAAAGAAGAGGAAGTCGAAAAACAAATTAAAAGAGGACAGTATAACTTATAAAAAATATCGTGAAAATGCTAATGCAAGGAAGCGCAAGTTTTTAAATAAAATGACACCTGAACAAAGATATATGAAGAGACTGAAAGATAATGTTAAAATAATGTTTCTAATTCCTAATATCTGTTATTTTAAAACAAAGTTTAGGTATATTTTGATTTTTAAGCATTGATATGCAAGAAAATCTTAATGATACTGTGCAATTAGCATTTGCTCCTGATATCTAATGTTTATTGATTGAAACAACAAAGTTTATTGTTATTAGATTTTAAGTCTAATTTTTTATACTCATGTTCCTCATTCCTTGTACAAATAAAGGTATAATACTGTAACTGTATATTATTGCTATGCATATAATGACAGAAAGTGGGTGTTGCGTTCATTTAGGGAAAGTTAACGACATTTAAGGTCATTTTGGGAACACTCAGATCATTTCGGGAACATCACAAAAATGGCAAATAAATCACTAATAAGTAATGCTACACTTTAATCTTGCATATACAATATGATATGACTTTTAAACTTTTGTAATTATATTATTAATATATAACGTAGTGCAAAAATTTATACAATAAATTGAAATTTCGGAACGAAATTTACACCAATTGTAAATTTATGGAGAGTATTTTGAAAAATAAATGTTTTTAATAAAAAATATACAAACTAACAACATGATCCGATTTAGGAACACGTTAATTACAATTTCTTAAAGGTGATTCTTCAATGCATTAGTTATATTATTATTAAAAAACATATTTAAAAGTGTTCCCGAAATGACTTTTGTGCCCGGCATTATTCTTATTAACTGGTAAAATTTCTAAAATATATATTTTTGTGCGTGCCTCTTTACAGGAGAGGTTTATGACAAATGACACAACACACTCCACTTGTTAGTTTTCTTCAAAACAAAACTTAATTTCTCAAATATTTGAAAACCTAAAATGCTCACCTCTCTGATTTTGACCCGTATATTTGTTTCAGTAAAAATAAAACCAGTTTGTGGATTTTTTAATTTTTTATTTACGACAACTGCTGATTAACAGCTTTCCATGCACTTAAAGTCCGCTACAATGTTATGTAATACAAGAGTGTGAGTTGCACCACCTTACTTTATCCATTAGCTTTACTTACTATCAAAAGTATGGAAACAACATCTTATTAGGTTTCCGTAGTTCTGATAAGGAACCCTTATTTATAGTTTAGTCATGTGGGTTTAGCGTGGAGACTGTTGGCATTAGAGAGCTGTAATTTTGTGGAGGTATTTATCTTAATTATGCCGACAAAACTGTACAATATATATTTTTAATGTTTTATTTTAGGGTAGCTTCCCTACAAGTAACATGGGGATGCAATTTTTTTTTCATCATCTACCCACTTACCCACCCCATCGTGTGGGGTATTATGAAATAGGTCTTTAAAAATTCCACAGGGGTTGCTAATGCCCGTTATCACCTTCAATCCCTAGAGAGAGAGGGAGAGAGAGTGAGTATTAAACTAAACAGTAAATTTTTGTTCGAGTAGGGTGTCCCTGTCCCCCTCTAAAAACTAAACTATTTGCTTTTCAAGCCATCAATCTGGAAAAAAATCATGACAATCGGCCGGAAAGTCAGCCGTTAGGTGTAGTGGTTCGGAACGGACTACTATGCTGAGTGGTCGCGGGTTCGATTCCCGGCCGGGCAGAAATTAAAATGATAAATTTTCATTTCTGTGACGGGTCTGGGTGTTACTATGTATTTTAAAAGTAGGTATATAAGTTGTATATCCATTAGAGTAATTGATGTAGGGTAATCCAACAGTCATTGGACACCGGATAGTTATTGGACAGTTATTACAAAATTTCTTACCTAATAAAAAATCCTTATAAGAACATTAAGTGTCTTTAGATGAAATAATTGCTTGCTTCTATAAAATATATTGTGGTAACGACGGGTAACTACGGAAACCTGCACTGCGCGTAACACGTTAAACTTTACCCACTTGGCCGGTTTTATTATTTATTTACTTGCTTTCAGCCCGCGGCTTCGCCCGCGTGGAATTTTGTCTGTCACAGAAAAACTTTATCCCTTATCCCTGTTTCAAAAACCGGGATAAAAACTATCCTATGTCCTTTCCCGGGACTCAAACTATCTCTATGCCAAATTTCATCAAAATCCGTTCAGTGGTTTAGGCGTGAAAGCAAGACAGACAGACAGAGTTATCTCGCATTTATAATATTAGTATAGATTAGTAATTTAGTTCTTAAGATAGCTCAGAACAAATGAGGTGATTCCATATTTTTGCTCGCGAGTGTATACATAACCGGTGGTTTTGTATGGAATTTGACAGACATCTCACGTTTGTTAAAGTTAAAGTAAGATGGTGCAACCCAGCCTTAAGAATCTACTTCTGTGAACATCGATATTGTAATACATTATATCAAGACAGAAACAACGATAAAGTTGACACCTATTAATAAGTAAGTTATGTTAGTTCCGTATCATCATTTCCTTCAACCGGCCACTTCAATAAGTCACACCAATGTAAACTTAAAAAGAGAAGAGCTAGGCTTGCTGTTTTCGGAAACATTATGTACTGACGACAGCAAATCAAGTATGGCATCTCAAGGCCCTAAGCTGTGGGCTCCTGTAAACGTCCGTAGGCAGCGTCACAATGCTTACTATAGAAATATATTGTTGTGATTCTCTTTCATTTGTTAACGTCGGCGCGTGGACATTATGGACGTCGATTGGAATGTTTGACTCTGACGTAAATAGCGTTTAATAGGAGACCATAGCCTAAGAGAACACCATGGCGGCGCCACAGTCGCGCCACCAAGTTCTACAGTTATATGGAAGGTATTTCACCTGGTATCAGCTTGGTTTGCGTAACCAAGTTATTACCGGCAACCGAGAACGTAGCTTTTAGGTATATTTAGTAGATCAAGACACCACCACCGCGCCGCCACATTGCGTTCTAATGAAATTGGGCCGTTGTAAAGGCCACAGCAGACATGCTACTTTTAGCATCGGCGATGGACGATTGTGCTTCTGTATCGACGCAGCATCGCGATTTCGCGACTTCTTGCGTTCGGAATCGCGCGTTTTAGCGACTACTGTCAAGCTTCCGAAAAACGACTCAATCGTCGCGGTTGACGTTTTAAGTGTGCGGTGTGGAATGTGTGGTCGCTGCATTTAGCTTCTAAAAAGCGGTTAAATCGCCGCTCGCCGATACTGAAAGTAGCAAGTATGCTGTGGCTCTAATAGGTGCTATTTATTTTAGAAACAAGATGTTTTTTCTCATATGCTGTCGAACGTACACTCAACCAATTGCTTCATGACCCATTTATTTTCTTTATTACAAGCATTGCATACAATTATGTAGAATTTCTTATATCGACGGTGAAATGACAATACCTCCTAACTAACATTTTAAATAAATCGATTTTCTTGATACAATAAGCTTAAAATTTAATTTCGCGTGGACTTTTTCCATTCGAAATTTTTCTCCTAACTGATATTTCTTTTTAGATAGCAATAAAACTTGATGGAAATAGCTGCTATATGCGCAAGTAATATTTCCATATTATTTCTATCTCCTAAAAACCAAAAAATAAATGCACTTTGGAGGTATTGTCACTTCACCGTCGATATGCGTCATATCAAAGATATACAAATAAAATTATCATCATCATCATCATTATGATGATGCAAAAAATTATAAAATTGATAAGATTCGATGAAATTATATTAAATTAAAAGTAAAATAAATAGACTCAATCGCATTTCGGTAAAATGAATAAAGTTAATTCTTTAAAATTCAGTTAGATGTTTCATGTGGAAATGGATGTGAACTTAATTTGACAAAACTTGATTGCCGTCTGATATAATTTTAAAATTGAATTTTATCGTTCGAAACTTTTAGTTGTACATATGGAGTTGTTTCTTTTTTCTAAAAACCATGCCTAGTTAAATTGAAAAACTGCGTTGATGAATAGTGAAGCAATTTCTTTGGCATTAAAATATCATTTGTAAGAATAAAATCCATGTTTAACGATTGTCTAAAGGTGAGTATAGACTAGAGCATTAATTCTTTATATGTAATATCGCTTTCTTGCGAACGGTTCCATACAGGTAAAATGTACGACGTTTGGTTCGTGACAGGGTGATACACTAGACATTTCACAGAGCAGCTCGTTATTCTGTTACAAGTAATAGTCAAACTATTCTGAAACGTCAAGTGGCAAAAATCGAAATAACCTAGTATTGGTAGTAGCGCCCTCCTGTCAATGTCGTAGCTGGGACGGTTCAATGTTGGACAACTATAAATGCTCCAGTCTATACTCACCTTAATAAATGGGTCTAGATTCAAACTGGTTGATTGTTGAAATCCTTTTAGCACATACACATAGACTTCTATGAAACTCTTAATAAAATCAAGGAAAATGATAATTCGATAACCAACAGATTGTACAACAAAAAAACTATGCAAGAAGGAACACTTTCTTTTTAAAGTAATGAATAAAAACGAAAAATAAAGAGTACAGACAACAGCACATCAAGCTAAGCACCGTGGCATCTCATAGTCATAATAGGTGTTATTTTGCAACCAACACGTATAGTCTGAGGTGCTGTTGACTGCACTTTAACAAAAAAACATATTATACCATAATATGTGTCATTATGTAATATAAGTTTATAAAGTATATTAACTGTTCAGTCTCAGTTGTTTATTTTTATATTTACATCCCAATCCCAAGCTTTGCTGGGTTGGTATGGTCTACGGTCAGCGCTGGCCTTCTCAAGGAGCACAACCGACGTAGGTACCATATTATAATTTTACCAACAATACAAAATAACCGAACTACGTTTATTTAATGAATAAATAAATCAATAATTTAGAAAAAGTTACGGTTTTGATAATCGATCTGTTTGAGACGTTAGTAGACTTTACAGTCGCACGCGTTCCCTCTGCCTTATTTTATTTTTTAATAAAAATTTAGAAAATTAAATGAAAAATACTATAGGGAGATGAAAATAAGTATAACCGTTAGAAAAATGTGACGTTACTGTTCCTTCTTACAACGCCATGCCCGCTAAATATTATACCATAATTATGATTACATCTTAAATTATTATATCTTAATACCCCTTAGTTTTGTGTAGAAGATACCCCATTTTATCCGAAAAATGAAATCTTTTGCTGTAGTGGATGATTGCTTATAACAATAAATTAAAAGCAAATTTTGATTTTGAATGCAGCAGCAAAAGTACAAATTTAACCCCATTTGTTTACAAAAATAAAAGTTAAATGATTCGTCTACACAAGTCAAAGAGGATGATTAATTACTACACACCAATGTTGAAACATCGTCCAACTTATGTATTAAGTTGAACATGTAAGTAGATGATACATGTTTTAAAATCTATTGAAACATTAATAATAATGATGAAAATATCCGCTAAGCTAATTACTTTTGATTATAATAACATCCAATTATTGTGTGTTTACTATTAAAAACATCAATCGGTTATGTGAGCTACTATTTATGGATTTGCACATTTAGATAAAAGGATAAAACTATGTAACATCAACTTAGATTAATAAAACAAAAAGGGAAGATATGGTATGCGCTTACATTGATATTGAAAAAACTAGGCCCTGAAGACATGGCGGGTGCCAGTGATAGATCAGTGAACTAAGACGTTTTTTAAGTTTTAAGTTATACGTCGTACCCGCTCTAGAATGGCAATAGAAAAGTCAGGTAATTGCCTTCTTAGAAAATAGCTCTCGTATTAAATAGCTCTCCCTATTTAAGGACTACTTGCGCCATTTTAACATGCAATAATGCGCCTACAACGCATAACCTGTCTATCTTTTTTGTATGTCATGCCCATAGGCACCATAAAGGCTGATATACACGTATTAAGTAGATAACTAAATTTTAAATTGATTTTTCTGTAAATTGGTGGGCGGGGCTTGTCACTTGACACGTTTTGACAAGCAGTTTGATAGTAAACAAGAGCTTGACATTTGGAATTAAGTTAAAAATTTGTTACGATGCATTTTGATCACTTAAAATTTAGTTAAATACTTAATCTAGCCAATCAGTCTTTAGAGTGGGGACACTTCCGAAACGCTTATGACATATCTTCCCTTTTTGTTTTAATCTAAAAATATCAATCATTTAAATTAAGCTTCAATTTTTTTTTTAAGAATTAGACCAAAAGAAAATATTAAAATCGAACCGTCATTTTAACCGTTACAATAATATGTAAACAAATAAGTAATGATGAAAGTTACAGGGGCACTATATTGATTGAAATAACATAAAAAACACACTCTAGAAAAAAATAAGAGCAGCTAAACATGAGAAGTATAAATTGAGTAAAATAGACAGTAATTCCAGACGACACAATATTTAAAACTGGTTATACATCAATTAGTTAAATCTTCGGCTAAATGAGTATATGTTGGCAAACTACATAATATTAAATATGATGAAAATGGGTAGTTGACACCAATGACCAATAAATTCCATGACACTACTCCTTTTTTAACACTTCAATGTAGTTCCGAAAACAGAGTAAGATTTAGTTTTAGTTGTTTATTTAAATTTTTAGTAGCTTTGAAATTGAAACATTGTTAGTCATCAGTTCGCGAACTCCGATGACTATTTATAACCCGATTGTCCATACAAAATCTATGGGAGAACTACATGACTTAAAAAATTTGATTCATCGTAACCGCTCTAGAATGGCAATAGAAAAGTCAGGTAATTGCCCGCCTTGCATTCAGTCGGGCACGATTTGATGCCGCGGATGTCACAATACTAGAGAAAGAGAGAGAACTACTTACGTCACCTTAAAATACAAATGTACGCGCATAACCTATCTATCTTTTTTTTTGTATGTCATTGTGGGAGAATCGCGTTTTGACTGTTCATGCAATGCAGCTACAATATGTTGATTGACTGGTATGTCAACTACCCTATTAATGAATATTAAAAACTACCTAATTGCAATACAATTAAAAACTGCTCGGTAATATGAACCAAGCGCGTATAAGCAACCTGTGAATCTAAGATTATATTTTATGTTCCAGCGACAGTACCGTAGCGTAGGCAATTCAAACTCCATTTTCATTGTTGCTGCATTCGGGGCTTTCGTTCCTGCTTGACCTGAAACAAATATAAAACATTATTAATGAGGAGTTTGTCAAATTTGACCAAAATTTAGTCGAGTCTGCACCGGTTTATTTAGTCGAGTGCACACAAAAAATACAATCACTTGTAAACTGCACTCGACCAAAGTGTGAACGGTTTTGGTCAGTTACTGACACCAAATTACTCGACTAAGTGCGCAAACTCAGTTTAGGTATCATGCTTGGGCTTTGGGCTCCGGTTGACATCTCCGGGTTTCAGTGGGTAGGCCCCGCCTTTAGTGAGAAAGCGGGGAGAGTCCCACATAACCCACTGGTCGTCCCCATCGACCAGTACCAGCAAAGCGTTTTCCGACGTTAAAAAAAAGATATCGTGTTGGTCTAACCTTCCAGCTCGCGGAAGGCCGCAGTTAAGTGTTAAGACTAGTGCGTAAGCTTAGTTCAGGCACAGGTCACCACCACCGTCGGATGTGATTGGCCCCGTAGTCCCGGCTAATCCCATCGGCGCCCCCCGTTGCGTTCCGTCTTGGTCGTCTGGGGCCGTTCAAGTATTACGTAAGCACCAAGGGGGGGTGGGGGGCTCTCTGTTTTGCTTATTTTGATGACATGGGGGGGTAGGGGGGTCTAGATGATGATTACGTCATCGTTAGTTATTTATGTTTTTTCGGGGATTCCCGCAAATAATACATATGCGTAGGCACTCGCTTTGAGAACTGATTAGGGGAATTACCGCACATTAGGGAAATTACCGTGCGCTATTCACTTGTCTAATAATTAACTCTCGTGCCGACATTGCCCATTGAAATTTGAGAGTCGTAGTCCGCATAAAATATTATTATACGCGAGGCCGGCCTCCCGCGCGCGTGTTTTATTTGGATACTAAAGTATTGTAAGCTTTGAAAGTTATCATTTGTGTTTATGTTGATGCATAATTGATGCAATTATGTTTGTTATGTTCTTGTTTCTGATTATTATTTTTTTCCTACTTTATGTGTATCAGTTAAACCTAATTAGTGTTCGACCGAATGTTCGGTTTCGGTTTCGTTTTCGGTTGAGTTTCGGTAAAAACACGAGTTTCGGTTTAGTTTCGTTTTCGGCGGCAAACTTGCCGAAACTACGACCGAAACCGAATGTGCATAAAAGTATAATAAAGTTTAATCTAACCTATAATTTTTTTTNTCTCTAGTACCCAAGGCGCCGACCACTATGCGGCAGAGGGAACACCCCAAGTTTTTAGTGGGTTCGAGGCCCACATAACCTGTCGCCCCCCGTCGGTAGGTATGGACAAGTCATTTTCTTGGGTCTAAAAAAGGAAGCGGGCGGCGGAGGCGAAGCGCGCCGGGTCGTAGTCGTCGGAGGTGGCGGCGCGCGCGCGAGCCAGTTCGCGCATGTGCTAAGTGCTAAGACTAGTGAGTAAACTTTAGGTATCGTGCTTGGTCTGACCTTCCATTAGGCTGCAGGAAGCGGGCGGCGGAGGCGAAGCGCGCCGGGTCGTAGTCGTCGGAGGTGGCGGCGCGCGCGCGAGCCAGTTCGCGCATGTGCTAAGTGCTAAGACTAGTGAGTAAACTTTAGGTATCGTGCTTGGTCTGACCTTCCATTAGGCTGCAGGAAGCGGGCGGCGGAGGCGAAGCGCGCCGGGTCGTAGTCGTCGGAGGTGGCGGCGCGCGCGCGAGCCAGTTCGCGCATGTGCTCGCGGAAGGCCGCGCGGATGGCGCCGTTGTCGGTGCCGTTCCGCTCCGTCGCCTCGTTTACACTCTCTGCGGTGAAACAAATATACATTTATACTTTATTAGTATGGACGACAGCATATCCAGCTAAACACGATGGAGTCGTATCTCGATGGAGGCTATTTTTTTTGCAATAAAAATTTATGGTTATTTGTCAACTGTACCTCTACCTAATTTTATTTTCCTGGAAAAAAATATGTTCAGAAAGTTATAAGCAAACAAAGTAAGATAGAATTCCTGTTGGATTCTATTCTTAACTCAACTCCTCATTTACTCTTCCTGTTGTAGTTCTAAAACAGTTAATCCATCCCTCAGGTGTATTTATGGAGTGAAAACAATAGGAAAAAATTCCGAATAAGTACTGGCCCATGTCAACAATTCAACAAATTACAAATTGCCTTACGAATGCCAGTCAGCCGTGGTCGTATCTATTTGGAATAATGTTCACTAGGTCAGGAAGAGAAGTACTCAAATATATAATATGAATGACATGAATACCACCGTATGTAGAGTACAGTAGTAGTTTTTCTAATAAAAATCAAATTACATCAAAGATATAGTTACACATTAACATGAGTACGTACAAAGTTACTGATGTTATCAAACAAAACTAGATGTCAGCTATGAGAAACCTTCACCTTGTCTGACCTCAGCGTTACTGTGTCGTAAACATTGCGTCTTACATTTAAATATTGATCGATCACAGCAAAAAACGACGAATAATACGTTGAACTAAACATAAATCTATGTAATGATCAGAAAAATATTATTCATTCCGAAGCATCCAAGGCGACGGAAGAACCGCCGTCTTGAAACATTTTTAATGACTTAATTCAGAAATTTAATGCTCGGTTCGGTGGTTAAAAAAGTTAAATTGCGGAAAAAATGAGGGTTTTCGCGAATGAAAGATCCGCTAGATGGCGGGACGTGGATGTGGGGTCTGACTGCTGCGTGATTGGTGGATTTTGACATATCTGTCAATGTCATGTCAAAAATAACCAATCATGCAGCATGTGGACCTCGCGTCTACGTATTGCCATCTGGCGGATTTTTCATTCGCGAAAACCCTCATTAAAACAAAATCACTTTTTTTTCACACGATGTTTTTTAAAATAATTTCACACGAATTGAGCGCCAGGGTGGTTAAAAAAATTAATGTCAACTCCTGCAAAAAGATTTAATGAGTTAATGAATGAAAATTTTAAAGTAAATGTCCTCCATCATGGAATCCATGCAGCGTGGTCGGCGGTGGGGCCTGTCGCGCGCCGGGCTCTACAGCGACCTGATCGGCATACCCTCCCGGGCTCCCGGCATGCCAGTTAGGTACCCGTCGCTGTAAGGCTCCAACGGCCGCTGATTCTGCGGCAAGTTCTGGCTCTCCTGGTCGCGAGGAACACCTTGTGTCTCACTCATAAAGTTAATATATTTTTTTATGCAAGACAAGGCAGTTATTTGACCGCAATCGCACCTGGTGTTAAGTGAGATGCAGTCTAATGGTACATATCGACGGTGAAGTATCAATAAATAATATCTACAAAAAGTCAATTTTACAGAAGGCGAATAAAAACATTTTATTTCGTACTTAATTCTAATAATTTTGATAAATTGATTTTTTTAATGCATTATAAGTGGGTTGCGAAGGTTATGGTCAATGTTTTGATTAAATATTGCATGTGCATAACTCTATTTCGAGCACGAATATGCAATAAAACATAAATTGCCAAAATGTCAGTTCTTATTTATTGACACTTCATCGTCGACATCTGCCCTGTAAGTGCCTATACCCAGCGGAATAGAACAACAAAGAACTGAGCGAGCGAGATGTCACTAGCAGCAGCACTGTGTGATAAAAAGAGATGCGTGGTGCCGTCGCCGTCGCCTCAAACAGAACCGTTATTTGCAACTATTTGACAGTGTCTCCGGCTGAAAATTTGAACTCTGAGATATTTTCAGATTTTACGTGAGTGAAATGTGTGGTGATGTGAGATATAGTGCTTCAGAAACGTGGAGACTGGTTCAGAGATTGATTTGTGTACAAAACAGTGAAATAATCCTGATAACTGACACACAAATGACATCCAAAATCTGTTTCGTTCATTGTTTTATTCCGAAGGAATATTAACTTTATGGTCTCACCGTTCATGAATCCATCCAGCGTGGTCGGCGGCCGGGCCTGGCGCACGCAGCGGCGCTTGCGGGAGGGCATGCCGGTGAGGTACGCGTCGCTGTAGGGCTCCAGCGGCCGCTGGTGCTGCGGCGAGTTCTGGCTCTGCTGGTCCCGCGTGAACACCGGCACCCATTCTTCGCCCCAATGCTGCAGGATCATCACGGGCGGCACCTACTCACATTATCATGCCGTCAGAATTGAACGTTGAGTTTTATTATTCGAGAAAGATAGACCCAGCATTCAAAATCATTACAAAATTCCACCCTGTTTAGTATAATTATTAATTATAATAATAAATTCCATATTAAAAAAGAAAGACAACAAGTGCAAAGATAAGAACTCGTGCAAAACCACCACCAAAAGTAATCGTCGAAAATATGTATCGTTGGTGTCAAATCAATATTAAAATGAAAGTTCAATAATGTTGCAGTGATTTAAGATTGCTTTTGCTAAAAGTTTTTTTAAAAGGATAACAAGTAACAACACTAAAGTTTTTTTTTAAAGTAAAGCAACATTTTCATTAAAAAAAACAACTTCGGTAACGCGTAATTGGGTCATATTTCTTAGCTGGAAAATAGGAAAAAGATTACACAGGTGTTACATCACGACATAATCTTGTGTTAGTTTAGAAACAGTTTACAAAATCAATTCCATGTACGTACGAATCGAATACTATTCTCCGAAGTAGAGGAGCCGCGTGACTCGCTCGAGTCTTGAGGGCCGACCCTGTAAAAAAAACTTCAAATGAACTCAAATTTTGCCTAGGATAAACGAGTATAGCAAAATTCGCGTCAATTTAACACCACAGAAGGAGACACAACAAGCCAAGCGAGCGACACAGATATATCTGAGTATGTTAATGTAAGAATGTAAAGTAGTTGGAACAAAAACAATACAATAAATATGGATGAACAGGGTTGTCACTCACCTGGAGGAGGGGCGGCTGGGCGAGGAGCCACCGGAGCGGTCGCTGCTGGATCCGGAGGCGCGCGCGGCCGGGCTGCCGGGCGCCTGCGGGGGGCTAGGGGGGAGGGGCCTGGGCGCGCCGGCGGGGGGCGCTGCGGGCGCGGGCGCGGCGGCGGGCGCGGGCGCGGGTACGGACAAGGGCGCGGGCGCGGAAACGGGCGCGGCCGGTGCGCCGGGCGCGACCGCGGCTGTCGGCTCGGCCGGCGCGGGCGGCGCGGCCGGCGCGCTCGGGGCGCTCGTCGCAGGCGGCGCGGTCGCCTGCCTCGGCTCGGGGTCTTCGCGCGGTGCCGGAGTTACCTCCATCGGCGTAGGAGGATGCCGGGGTTGCAGCTAGAAATGAATCTGTTTATAAAACATGAAATGTTTTCCTTTGCCGTTATGAAGATACCCGACCTAAATGGGAGGAAAACAACTAAAAACACAACATCGACATGCTGGCGCAGACATCGAAACTGCGATCGCTGGGAAGAGAAAAAGCAGAGCACCAACGAGAATAACATTCAATACTTATGCCTTACAAAACTTTCAAACGTTTATCTTAAACTGGTGTAACAAAAAATCATCATAGCATGACGATGGCCGCTAACGCCGCATAATTGAAATGCTGCGCACTATACCTACTAACTTGTGCGGCCATCGGAACTAGACAGTCTGCTGACGTAATAGATAAACATTCATTGCACAACATTCGCTATTTCAGTTAATTACTACTTGGACTTTCCTTTTTACAATAGTAAAGTGTGAGTAGCACGCCGACCCCAACCCACAACAGCAACCGACAAGTATTTTTCTATATAATTTATATGAAACAGTAAGATCGGAGCTTGCCGCCTGCAGTTGCAATCTGCTGTGTCGTTGACTTGCAACTCACACCTTGTGTATTGAGCATGCATTTTAGAAGAGCTACAGATGAGTGATGAATTACATTTTTTACTGAAGCGACTCGCTAAAAGCGGGGCAAATGATAAATACTTATAGTAAACATAACCAAAGTAAATCGTGAAAATGAAAGTTTGAAGGATCTACTGAGTACAAAATAAATAATAATGATACTATAGAGACGGAACCATCGCGCCAGATGGTCTGGCTTTGACGTTTGGCGGCCGAGTGTACCGCTAATTTATTTGTATAGAAGGAGTGCGAGGAAGAAATAATAACGCAAAGTTACGAGTGATAGTCGCGTCAGCCGGTAGGTATAGTGAGCGAGCAAGCGGCGTGCGCTCCGCGTCGTGCATAGGTTCGGACTAGTTTGAGGTGCGGCGGCGCACGCTCGGCCACGATCGCCGAACGCTCGGCTCGAACAACAGGCGGGCGCGGTGACGTAGTGAGCGGCACTCGCAGGCGGCGAGTACACTGTGCCGCGCCGCGATAGCTACTTCGCGCGATAGATGCGCGAAGCTATAATTCGACTTGTTGGCTACTACGCGTGTGTAAATATTTGTAGGATATGAAATGTTATTTATGTATGTGTATTTAAATGTAAATAATAAATGTAAATGTGTTAATGTGTAAATAAGTGTAAATATGTTTTGTATGTAAATATTAATTACTTATATTTAATTTTATTATTTAAGGTTTTAGTTTAAGTTAATTATTTATTGTTGTTGACATTTACATAAATATAATGAGTAGCCTACAGACGCGTCAGTTCCTCGGTCTCTGTATTATTATTGTTTATTTCAGGTTAATGATGCTGCGTGTTACTTACATCAGGCATGACGCCGTCCATGCGGCGGATGAACTGCAGAATGTTGTCGACGTGGCCGGGCACGTTGGGCATCAGGCCCACGACGTTGTCCATGCCCACGGTGAGGATGGCAGCGCGGGAATACTCATCAAAGTTCTCCACGATATGATCCTGTTTATCGATACACAGCCGAATAACTAAGTAGCTGGGACCTAATAACACCTAGCTAGGATGCGCGACGTGATAAAATCTTGTCGATAATTTTAAGTGGCAAACGCCACCTAAAATTACTACCCCATAGGGTATCAGCACAGAATACATAATAGTAGCAACAGAAATTGCACTCCTTTGTGTAGGATCAGATGCCGACATTTTAACGGTAATAATAATAATGCAAAATATCCAACGCACATGGTGCATTCGAAATCGCACCTTACTACTACGCTCACAAGAGCGCATTTTTTTTGTGTTTAGAATTGATCTACGTCACCGCTCAAGCGTCAGGGTTGTATGAGCAAAGTAAAATAAATAAAAACTTAATTTTAAGAAGCATTTATTGTATTTACGATTAGAAAACTTTAATCTAGTGGAGTTTGTATAATCGTACCATCTCTAAAGTACCTATTAATAAACTTCAGTGTTGCGATAATTCGAAATTAAACAAACAGTTTTAAAAGGTGTAGTGTCGGAAAATAGACACGGTGAAGTAAAGTTAATGTTTTTATTAGCTAAAATAATTTTTTGCTATAGTTTTTTGTCATAAGTACTTCAAAATAATTTATTATTTAAAAAGTGTAGTTTTTTTTTATTATTTAAATCACTATACAGTTAATATTATTATTCCTAAATATTACAATTTTTCATTAAAGAAGAATAACAGTGCTGTTGGAACAATAAACCTTGATTGCGACGATGATCGACCGAGCGTGTATAGAAATACGCGTGTGCAAACAGGCGCGTGGCGGCCCGGACTGATTTGCAACTTGAAGTTGTCGCGCGCTGTAGGTAATTATCTCGGCCGGCATAGGCGAGTGACGGAGGCCTGGTATCAGGTAAAATCGATAAAATGGCGCGATAAAACTTATCGCGGCGTGCATCCTAGGTCAACTTACCCTAAAATAAATAATGTAATGTAGATGACGTCATCTTAAAGTGTTAAACTAGGGCTGTCACTTCGGATAGGCAATACGATAAAATACATAAATTATATTGGCGACTCGAGTGAAAGTTTGTTCGACTTTTATGTTTAGTTAAATTAGGTATTCGTCACGTTCTGTTAGTCTCGTGAATGTATCTATTTTCTTCTATTTACCTCCCAATTCGAACAATATTCATCTAGCATTGCATAGTGTGACTTTTCAGAACCCTTTTGCCTTCTTTGTTTAGAACGATTTATATTTCTTAATCTTAAACAACTAAGCAACAGAAATATAGATAGAGGTCATGTCCGTGTCCTTAAAATCACCGCATAAACTGAATAACAATTTAGCAATGCAACGTACCAAGTTCAAGATACATGAGGCTATTATCATACCTTGTGATTCAAATTCAGACAATAACATTGGAACTGATGATTTTACTTTATGATTTCAGCTGAATACAAATGTGCCATGGCTCCAGGGATGCAAGTTGTTTTTATGACTGTCAAATTAAAATGGGTAAAGTATTTATTTATTTTTTGGGCATATCACTATAATGTAACCTTACTATGACTAAGCAACTAGTAGGTCTTAGAAGAGGCCTGGTGAAACTAAAAGACGGTTTTAGAATGAACTCCTTTTACAGCAAACATTTTCCTAAGCTACCTGAAAATTGCCAAATAAATACATTTGTAAATAACTTACGCCCGTATTCATAAACGATACTTGCTTAAGTGAAGCAGCAAATCGAACGAACAACGTTGAATAGAGCTCTGTGATTGGTCCGTGTGTCACCCTGAGCGTCCACGCGCACTGTAAGACCTCATAGTAATGTTTGTGAATACGGGCGTTACAACCACTAAATACTTACCAAAAACATCCTGACAATGCGGCGCAGTCCCACCTCGCCTTGAGCGCACATGTGATACACCAGAGCGCACAACTCGGTGAACAGACGCAAGAACATCGAATAGAATCGAGACACGAACTGATCGGTGACAGAATCGCAGAGCATCGAGGCGATGAACGCCGGCAGCCGGGAGCGGACGAATGCGCGGATCGATTCCACTACGTCATACTGAGGGTTCATCTCAGCAATGTTCTCCTGCGGAAGGAATTGAGAATGTTACTAGGTATGCAAAATCACTTGAAACCTATGTTACAGTTAAGCTTTTACATTTACAAATACATTAGTTTTTATTTCATTCAAAAATACCCATTAGTTATGATTTTATAGGCATTCAAAGTTCGCTTAAATATTGAATCCCGCCGACGGTCACGTGACCCCGTGTGACGTACATTCACAGCGTCCGCTCACTAGAAAACGGATATAAACATACTTAAATATTTTTTTTTTTTGTAAATACAAACTTATTATACATATTAACACCCAGACCCATCACAGAAATTAAAATTGAACCAAACCCAAACTTGATGCGATTGTGTCGTTTTATTGCGAATTACCTTCCAGCTTCATTATTAGACCCCGATTACTATATAGAATTAAAATACTCATCAATACAAAACGAACGAGCCCAAACTCGATGCATTTAAGTCGTTTTATTATAGAGTTCCTATGGCCACCTTCCAGCTCCATCATCAGATCAGCTCCATGTCATCATAATATTGCATGGTCATCCAAATCACATGTGTTTGCGAAATTTCAGCTTAATCGGTTGCCTGGAAGTGGGTCTTAATTCAGCTTGCAAGATTCCACCCATACAAATATGAGCCAGTCACTGTAATATGACGTCACGTGCATAAAATGGCGGGCCGGCCGCCGCCCGCACTTTTAAAATTTAATATCTTGGAAACTAATTGACGTATCGAAATAATTCTTTCACGTGTATTTTTTATTTTTAACAGAGAATACAGAAAGCTAAAAAACAAAATTAGTGAACATTCTTCATTGGCGAATTACGATTTTGTAGATGTTTCATTTGGTTAAGCTGGACTAGTAAGGCAGCGAGAAGCTCCTGGATGCGAGCAGCTCGGGAATCATTGTAGAAATCATAGGTGGCTATGGTCCAACAGTATTTTGATTGAAAAGGAAAAAGGAGAGCTGGGCTCACATGTTCAATACAATGTAATGGGACCGTTCAGGCGTTGTTGCGACGATTTATGTGTTGAGCACCCCCTACTCTAAGCATTTTTCTCTATTCGTTACAGTGGGCACATAGCTCGTGGAGCTGATGGTCGCTGGGGCAGGAAAGTTCTTGAGGGGCGACCAGCTCACCATCTGCTAATACTCACCATGTTAGTAATGAATCGGGAATAACGGGCGACAAGAAAATCGGCGGCATTCTGGAAAGCGTGGTCGTTCTGTCCGCTGCGCGATTCGGTGATGAGATCGTGGATGAAGTTGCGCATGAGAAGGCGGATCGACGCGAACTCGTGGGGAATCAGCGCGGGCATTCCGTTGGACGCGGTCAGCAAATCGTTCATGTACAGCTGGCGGCTCTGTGGACATATCGTTTCGTTTAGTTCATCTATTTCTTACAAAATTAAATAAACTATTATCTAAAGGCCTATGTTGCAATAAATGTATGAACTAATCGTATGGAGTTTTAGTTACTTACCATAGCAACCATGAAAGCGTTCACATACGCCTGGGGAGAGGATTCTCCGTTCAAGAGCGTCAAAATAGTGCACATGTGCGTCTGTAACAAACAACATCAAAATGTAATAGATCTGTTGTCTAAGATCGATGTTTGTTTAAATTATTTAAAACTCTACTTCAATAGGCATAGGGTTTTATATCTGGGAAAATGGTGTGAATAACAGTGCCATTCTTTTCTGATTGATTTCGTTGCGAATCCAGTGACAGGTTAAATTCCTGAGACAAACATGACATTCACTCGTTGTTTTGTTGGCGGTCCTAGTGTAACAGAAGTTGTAGTGATGAGAACGACAGGTGGGGATAGTCCCGTGTTATGTACGAGTATACATGACACGTGCATGTATCTATATTAAAAAAATGCGTCTCCAGCTAATATTTATTGGCTTTGTAAGTAAAAACATGAAAAATACCGGTCGAATCTGTGCGCGGCGGAGAGACAGGCTCTCGATGTTTTGCTGGGCAGCTCGCTCGTTGCGGATGGTGTCGCGCTGTTCCAGCAAATGCTGCTGATGGCTCCTACAAAACACCACTACATTAGTAATTTTTCACTGAATTGCCAGAAATTTCCGCTAGTATAATAAATAAACAAGGGGTTATTTTTATACATGCTCAAACAAAAAAGGTTTTTACTACTATTTGTATAGAAAATTGGCCGCTTATTTACTATTCACCCCCCTTAAAAATCTCATATGGATAGACCTCTATAATACAAAATCATAAGTTACAAAAAGTTCAACGAATTCTAATTACTAAAATCATAATAAAGAAAAATAATAAATATTCGACAAAGGCATTTCCATATTATATTTTCGTAAGTGCAAAATGTATCCATTTAAGTAAATAAGCTCCCGAAATCTTAAATAACTACTTACAAATTCAAATACAACTTACCAATAGGCCCTTGATGCCATAAGAAATAAATAAATTATTATTATCTTTTATGAATTTTTTATATTCATAACTCTTTGTTAATCAAAAGTAGGTACTTTTAGACTGGTGGAACCTGGTTAATAATCTTTGATTTTGCTAAATCAGCTCATAATTCCATCATACAGCTTACCTTCGTCATATTCTGACCAAATTCAGTCAAAACTACTTTTGATTTCTGCAGAGTTATGACTGTGACATATAAATCACAACAAAAATCACACAACTTTATTCGTCAGTTACAAGATATTATATTTGTGTTTAAAAATGAAAAAAAAAACCTAGCAGTAATGTTTTCACTCTATAATGATAATCATTAGAACTTAACTTTTGTAAATGCTGCTATGTAGCACATTTGTGTGGTAATTAGTAAAAGTTATTTTCAAATTCGTGACATTATAAAAAGTCATCAATTTAATATTTTTTAACTTTAAAATGTAGACAGCATAACATTACTCGTATGATCAAAATCGTCTTGTAACCGATTCCAATCATAGTAAAACAACAACACAAAAAAGTCATTGATAGTTTGGACATCTCTCGCTGAAGCAATCACTCTGCCAATAGGGGTGCAAGTCCTGTTTACCTGCGCCTGGCCTGTCGGCGACGAGCGTGAGGGCTGTCGCACTGCAAGAATCTGTCGTAGAACATATTGGCCATGGCCAGTGCCTGGGCTTGAGCGCGAGTGTTGAAAGTGGCGCGGCGAATACTTATACCAGCTGCGAAAATATCAAAGGTATATTATTGTTGCCAACCCTGAGGTTGCTTGATTCTTTACAAATGTTCTGATCTCCAGTCTGGTGGAGTTGAATGGAGAACGCTAATCAAAAGTAAAATGTTTTGTGATCGGCCAACATCCACGTGAATATAACAAAATACTTTTAATTAGTGGAATTCATGTGAACAGATTTAGTTAGCTTTCAAAGAATACTTAATTCTTCTCCGGTCCAGATCAAAACATTTGTCAAAACAAAAATACTAAAATTTAGTAGAAAAGTCGCGCAACGACTCGCCAAAATAAAAAGCAGTATATTGTAGTGCATATTAGGGCCATTTAAATTCAATGAGTTGAAACAGTGTTACAAAAAATCTACATAGGCGAAAATGTATTCTGTAAAAACGAAAATGCATCCAATTTATATTTAACCAGTACGGTTGACACTTTAGCATATCCCCCTCTTGCAAACATGGCCCCAGTCTATTATGAAGACCCATAATACACGGGGTCAAGTGGCAAATCGAGTTCTACTGAATCGACATTGATGATTATTAAATCTGTACCATTAAAATCGGTTCAGTTTCATTTAAAGCTAAACCATACATGAATTTATTAAAGAATTGGCGAGCCTTCACGACTAAATATAAATGTGACATACGTTCCCTGTTCATTCCCGATTCATTTAAATCTGGTTGCGGGGACGGTGGGCCCTCGTTGCGTCCTGGGGCTTGGCCAGCGCTTTGGGTTTGACCTGAGGCTTGTGTCTCAGCAGTGGCGGGGCTCTCTCCCGAGGCTTGGGATGGAGCCTGGCCCTGGGATTGTGCCTGAGCCTGGGCTTGTTGGGCCTGAACTTGGGCTTGGGCCATGGCCTGAACCTGTGCCTGAGCCTGGGCACGCGCCAGCGCTTGCACCCGCGGTGCGTTCGGACCCACGCGGGGGCAGTCCCCGTGGAGGAGAGCAAAGGGATCGGGCGGAGGCCCGTATATGGCATTGTTGCCGATGACTTGGATCGGACTGAGAGACTGTCCGATAATACCGCCGCCGAGAATGGGACCCTGGCCTATCGGTTGGCCGAGCTGGCTGGTCGGTTGCTGATGAGGCAACGGGGGGCCTTCACCGGCCGGTTCTGCAGGGAAAGTCAAAGGGCGACTCGACTGTTCTCGCGGTGGAATGCGGCCAACCGGTTGTTCCTGATGACCGAGCGGTGTACCTTCACCGTAATTGATTTCGCGCGGGGCCGACTGAGCGGCCGGCGGTTGGCCGGGAGCCGATGGAGCTGATGGCGCGTGCCCTTGAGCAAGCATTTCCCCCTGTGCAAGCCCACGCCCGAGTACATGTCCTTGACCTGTAACATGCCCGGGTCCAAAACCTTGGCCTCGCCCCGCGGACGGCGCCGGCGCCGGCGCCTGGTCCTGGCGCACTTGCACCTCCTGCATGATCTCATCCTGCGCTTCCTCCTGCGAGTCCTCGGCGGTGTCTTCCTGGGAGTCCTCCTGAGCGTCGTCCTGCGAGTCCTGCCCCTCCTCTTGGGAATCGTGCGCGTGTCCGCAGGAGAACTCCTGCGACTCCTCCTGGGATTCCTCCTGGGACTCGTCCTGGGACTCGTCACTGGAAGCCTGGAGGATTTGGCTGTCCTCCTCGCCCGCCTCGAGTTCGATCACTTCAGTGCCGGGCATCAGGAGGACGGAATCGACGCCTTGCACGTTGGTCTGAGTTTCGGCGTTGGTGGTGGTGGCGGCGGCGGCGGCGGCGGCGGCCGCGGCGTGGGAGCGGCGGCCCGCGGTGTGCGGGATGCGGATGGGCTGCTGGCCCTGCGAGGGGTGGATGGTGATGCCCTCGTTGGGCAGCATGCCCTGGCGCACGAGCTGCTGCAAGATGTTCTGCATCATGTTGTCTGGCGTGCCGGTGGCGAATGTGGCCATCGGGGCGAAATAAACTGCACAAATTAAACAGGTTAAATATAATACGAGTATGCAGCATAAGAATTAATAACGATTCAAACAATGAGAGCTATGGTTTTAGCGCTAACCAGTTAGCACTACTAGAGTGGGGTCACAGTCGTGACAGAGGCACCAACAGCGCTGAAGCGCTTACGTCAATCGCCTTAAGTACAAAAACGATAGCCCTCTTTGTCTACGTGGTCAAAATGGTAAGCCATTTTTATTTTATGGAATAATATAGGCCAACCTACCTCCGCCATCAACGGTAGCGCCGGGCGGGTGGGGCGGAGAGGGCCCCAGCTCATCTACGTTCCCGGTGGCCAGGTTGCCAAGATTTCCAAGAGCAACCTGTGCGACCGTGGGCAACTCTTCCATGCTCATGACCACTTCGACGCCGCCGAGGCCAGCAGCGCCCATGCCCCTGAATAGATTCTCAAGATCTACAAGAAACAAACAAAAAACATACGTTTTAGGGTTGATTTTTCAATCGTCGGAGAACTGATAACTGAAGAATAAGTTTAGCACATTCACAATTTCAGTATGGGAAATATGAATATGACAAGTTTATTCTTCAATTAGAAGTTATCTGATGATTGAAAAACCAGCCCTTAATCATTTAAATGTAATCAGCGACACGACAGTCGGAACACCTCCATATTTATTTTATGCAATCATGCAAGATGTTTCAAATATTCCGTTCATTGGTTGTTATAGCAGTAAAGATATTTCCAAATAAGTATACTTGTGAAACAGATATTACAACATGAAAGTATGAAAATATCAAGGTGTTCCTAATTTTATGATGCAGAGTGTACGACTACGAACACATTACAAAACAAATACACCTTCCAATTCTATGGCAATCTCCTTTCTTTTTTCTATCGCCATCACCATATAACTACATGGACAATGGACAAACAAAGACATAACTATTCCGTGCTAACACAACATAATTGCCGTTTAAGATTAAATAATAAAGAATAAACAACAGGAATCATAACACGATTACAATAATAAAGTAATAATAATTCGCTTAAATATGACAAACTTTGTACCAGTCATATCAATATTTCGTTAGTAATAATTATTTGTGAAGAATACAATCTACTAGGTCATCTTGGGTTCATTATTTCTTAAGTAGCTTGTATTTTCGAATTAACCAACCAATTGTTAGGTTTTAATGTACTTAAACCAGCAAAAATTGTTAGATATTTCTGTAGGGCATAAACGAAGGCCATACATTGCCATTGAACAAGTCTTACCCTGACGAATTTGTCGGCGCCGATCGGCTCGACCTTGGTTTTGCTGACCATCTTGGTTTTGTTGGTCAGCCTGGTTTTGTTGATCAGTCAGGTTTTGGGCACTTTGATTCGGTCGAGTTCGCTGTGAGTTCAGATCAGGAGGTTCATTGAGGTCATTTAGCTGATTTTGAGTTTGCGGATCTAAATGAGGGCACCTTCTTCTCGCGCGTCGATGCCTTCGGATTTCTATTTCTATTTGATAAGGTTCGGGTTCTATGTTAATATTGTGAGCCTGATGGAATGTGTTCCTACCGGAGGCGATGCCGCGTTGCTGACCGGCGGCACTCGTCTGGGTGGCGGAGGCGCCGGTGCGGTTAGCGTTGGTGGCGGTGGCGCTGGTGGCGGTGGCGGTGGCCGTGGTGTTGGGGACGCCGCCTTGCGGCGCGCGGCGGGTCACTGGCGTCGCCGAAATCACGTTAATTTGAGCCTGTATCGGAACGAATTGAACGACTTCATTAATTCATTCAGAAATGAATTTATTATTTTATATTAATATTAATGCAACAACTATATCTTATTGAAGAACATTTAGTGGGATACTTACGTTGGGCAGCACTAGGTCCTGCATGATTAGGTTAGATAAAACAAGAATGATTTAGTTAAGCAATCACAAAAATAAATTGTCATTAAAAAGTATAAATTATTAAGCAATGTGACAGCATACACTAATAAAAAAAAAATGAATTAATGTCATACTAAACATTCTACTTGTGGTCCTAGCTATTGTTATTTGTTATATTTTCTGTCTCTTATTCAAACCAATACTCAACAAGCCTTGTAGCCCAGAATTGTCAGAAAATTTTGTTAAGTATATTGGTTATCACATTACCTAATCTGGGAACCAACATAATCTTACTTTGGGAACATTATCAAGCCCAACATATTTAGGTGGAGTAAAAGCGTGCGGTGCAGCAATTAGTCACTTCTATTAACTAGATTCCTGACAACTGGTGTTGATGATGACGGTTGATAAATCAGTGGCTTAAGCATGTAAGTCAAAATGGACCTAGCTTCCTTCACCGGTTAAGATGCAGTTTACTTGTTTCGGCTTGGGTGTACGGTGCATATTGGTACCGAATATACTAGAAATGGCACGAGTGTGAGTATGTGTATTGTGTGCTACGTGTGGTGGTGGCCAGCAGTAGTGAGGTGACTGACCTGCATGGTGACGGAGGTCTCGGACCTGAGGCGCGGGCTGCCGACCTGGAACATTACGTCACTGAGCACGTGGTACGCGTGCGCGAAGCTGTGCATTAAGTCGGTGGTCATCTCGACAGTGCGCTGCGCATGAACGCGCTCTTCGTCAGAATATGTTGGAGTCTGAAATCAATACACATTTCTATATTAGTATCATCATTCATCTTACATTCCTACCATGCCAGCGCCACACATTGGTCATATATCGGCTTTAATAGTCTTGGATCAATCACCAATTTGTATACAATCTTGGCCATAAACGTAACATTGCATCCAATAGCCGGTATCGACCCGTGTTGTGACGTTTTTGTACTCGATCAAAGGCGAGGGAAGTGAAGGGGGTTAGGCAGGCGGGCCACTACCCTCACCTTAGGTTTTGTCAAAAAGTATTGGAGCCAATATGTGGCCGCATACGTTGGATACAATGTTGGCCACTAAAGGTCATAAGTCAATGTATGGCGCCTGTATCAGACTGACGTAATCCAATTATGGTCACCAAAACTGAATGTCGTCTAACTTAACCGATTAAGCACTTACTTCGGAAATAGTGTGCGATCGTAGAAGGGCGGTGTAGTTGGATCGGTGCGGGGAAAACTGCTCGTGAAGCTCATTCAGGTCGTCGATGAGTTGGGCCAAGTGACGCGGCTGCGTCTGTCGCGAACGCAGCGAGCGAGAAATCCTGCTGAAGTATAAGAGACAACGCTTTTGTCAGCATTGAATAATACTACGGATTACATTTATCAAAATGGCAACGTACTCCATTAGTCACTAGATTCATCACCTACTCGTGACCCTTTTAAAACCAGAGGTAAAAGATGTATCACGTAGCTCATAGAGAGGATGGCCGTTGGGGCAAAAAAGTTCTCGAGTGGCAACCACGGGCCGCAAGACGTAGCGTGGGCAGGCCTCCTACTAAGTGGACCAACGATCTGGTGAAGGTCGCGGGAAGAACCTGGATGCGGGCAGCGCAGGACCGGTCGTTATGGAATGCCGTGGGGGAGGCCTTTGTGTTGCAGTGGACGTCATTTGGCATTTGGCTGAAACGAAAATATTTCTCAACCGACCAATCTGGTAATCATTGGGGGAGGCCTATGTTCAGCAGTTGACGTTCTGTGTCTGAAATGATGATGATGAAATTGAAATTTGAAGATTTGGCCTACACTCCCCACGCTCGCCGGACAGGTTGGGAGGTCATGGTTCGCATATTTGTTGTAGTCTTGAGTCACAAAAGGGATGAGTTAAGGGTGGTCCTATTCTACTCTGCTGTATCCACGCACCTATTATGGCCTTGCCATTTTTACCCGACCATGTGACTCATGTGTGCACACGCACCTTCCATTAACCATTCCACCTAACATCATTCTCGTACGATACGACCCTCTGTCCAACCATGAACGTTGCAAACATAGTGACACAGAGTTGCAATACCTAATGAAGTTACCCATTTTTCTCGAGGTAAATATAGAGGTTTATACTCAATGCACGTAATAGAAACATTTGCTTCATGGGATTCGATAGTTAGCACTGTTGTTTGTTATCATCAGGCAGGACAGACAAAAATGTTTACTACTTACCTAGGCTCCCTGTTCCAGCCGATACGTAGCAATAAAATATACGACGAAAATCAGCAATCAACAGAGGGGTGAAAAAAACATAACCAGGGTGTCCNAGCATTTTATTTATTTCTTCTGATGCAGATATTTCCCCTTCAATCATAGTAGGATGTTGATTTGTTATTTGTTATTCAAATACGATAATAGTTTAGTATCTACAGCAGACGATATTTTTCCAAATGCGTAAATAATGACGACATAATTTTTAACACACGATTGGCACATTATAGCAATGTTGAACTCTACGAACAAAAGATAAGAAATGTTCGAAGAAATGCGAATGTTTCGAAAATAGACCAAGTATTGGTTCGATATTAATCACTTATGCCACCGGGTCAAACTTACTTAATAATGCATAGCTCAGCCAGGGCGACGGAAATTTTGTCTAATATTACGTTGCATAGGCGACAGTAGATAGATAGATTTCGTTGAAAGAAGTTATAATACGTTTCCCATAAAGACATGTGAACTGTTTATCGATATCATTGAGTATGCAACCGGGCCAGACTTATTTAAAATTGATAGTCCATCCATGTCGATAGAATCTTTATTTAATGCTCTGCAAAATCGACTAGCCCGCTTTAACACGTTTTAGGTTTATGAAGACTAGTTTGAGTATTAAGAATTTCAGATCCTCTTATGGTGATACCTACCGTTATTTTGGAAAAAGGTTTTATTAAATTGGATTTATTTAGGAAGGACTAGGTATTATAATAGGTAAACCAAACCAGCCAGGTTAGGATGCGGCGCATGGTAAAATCTTATCGACGATTTTAGACAAAGTATCGTGCAAAATCGATAAAATGCCTCGATAAGATTATCGTGGCGCGCATCCTAGGCTTAATAGAGTACCTACCTGCGACGTGCGCCTTGGCTTCGAGCGGCGGCAGGGTCATGAGGGATCTCCTCGCCGCTCTCATCGAACTGAGGTTCCCTCTATAAAAGAAAAGTTCGATAAAATTAAATAGTCTGAATCCTGCTATATCGGTGCTTATGAATGGGTTCGTAGCTGGCAGTGGCTACTCGAACGAAAGTTCGAACGAAATGTTGAATAAACTATGACGTGACACCAGCTGTATTCAATGATAAAGTAGTCAAAAAGGTAAAATTAAACATGGGAATCTTTGCTGTACATTTAGGCAAAATTCAAGTTAAAATAATAATTGTTAGATACAAGGTTATTGACAATAGCATGTTAGAATAATGCTTTTCATTAAAATATTAGAATGACATCTGCCTTCATTATCACAGAAAATGTACCGTTATGCTAGACAAAATTAATATCACAGGTACATTATTAAATTATATGCAATCATTTATCACATTCCTTCTATTAGTCGGTGGTAACTATGTTAAGATTCGTGCTATAGGTATGTCGTATCTTCTTACTTTCAAGTCGCTTAGATGAGCAGAGATTTGTAGTGTTACAGAAATGACACTGTAAAATGCATGCTATGTAGTAAGCAGACAAGCTGCAATGCAGCGAGTTTAAGATAAATGTCAAAATCAATGGAAGGAATCTCTTTTAATGTATTTGCTGTGTATTTTTGTCTGTGTCATGACATTCATGCTATATTTAACTGACTATAGATAGTCGGCCACGACATTTCGTTACCTACAATAAATAGATAGTTAATCTGGAATCTTAATGACTCGGGTAGTCTAATCAAATTACAGTGAAGTTTACCTAGTTAATCAATAAATCACAACATCATCACAAAGCAACTCAATCGTCACGTCAGTTATGATACTGCCTTTTACGAAAATTCAATAATCAACACCTACAAAAGCGTTAATAAACACTTAAGGCCCTTGTAAACGAACAATATTATGGCGATGACAGGCAATTTAATACAATTGGCAGTAAACGTTGCTAACAATACCGCTGCAATTGACTGAATACTTGTAGGTCTCGTAGCGTCTAGCTAGCGAATCTCTGCTACAATATCAACGCAATATTGCTTGGCGATATACCAAAAGATGCTGGTTTATAAGAACCAAAAGGTTATCTTTGAAAACTGGGCGTGGCATGTGATCGGGTAGTTTTTGTCCGAAAACAGAACGCGTTTGTTCCTGTTATTGAAAAAAATATCAATCGCACATGCATGCTACGTTACCTCCTCGGGCGGGGCGCTAGGCGTTGGGTCACAATCCATGGGTTCTACTGGGGCTTCGCTGCTAGCTGGTTCCCGAGAAACTTCCTACAGTAGGCACATCAACAACATAAACAACATCTACACGTAAACCTAAATAAAAATAAACAAAAATATCTAAGTACACGACCGATTTTCTATTTTAGAATAATTGCATGTAGTATTCTTACAAGGAAATCAGCTTACAGAATCATGTAGGCATCGAAGTAATTATAGATGATGTAATAATATTATTTGTCCTAAAACATTAACTAACAAAAAATATTAAAATCCACACATTTTTGATGTATTAGCTGGTATCTCTATCAAGTAGTAACAATTTGATAGGAAATATGAATGTTCTAATAAGTGTTCGAAGTTGTTGGGGAAATCCTTGGGGAGACTTTGTCCAGCAGTGGTCTTAGTATCTACAGCAGTAACAGCAGTCTTGCAATTTGCTATTTATGATTTACGAGCGCGTTCAACTAATCAAACAATCAGAAAAAGTCATCAGCTTTTTAGTTAGTTTTTAGTATTTTCTGAAACTAACCATCCTTACAATATGTGTCGTATACTACACACTTAAAACGGTAACAAGTAATAGAGTAGGTACATGCAAACCTCTATTTTTCTTAAAACCTAATATTCTATTAAAACATGTTTTACTACATATTCTACTTTTCCTGATATTTCATGTTGGTCGTTCTGTAAAAATAATGTATAGATTCTAGAGCGTTAACACATTTTAGTAGCTTATTAGTACTTTTAGGTCTTGTTTCAAATGAGAATAACTTTAATCTGTTCTCCTTCATCTATTATTACTTCAATGAGTGTAAGCTTGCTACACATGCATAGATATAAAACATTTAGGCACCCTATCATATCATGCAATACAGAAATTCAAATGCAGGTACAGATTTGCAGTATGTTTCTCAAAGTACAAATACATTTGGATAATAGCATAAAGAGGACTAACTAAGCGTAACACTTGCTCTAACCTGTAATTTTTAAGTATGTTCTTGTTCCACATGGGGATTTATAAAGAACTAAAGATTAAACGTACCTCTCCATTGATGTGGGCTCGTAAGAACCCTAGAGACATTCTGATTTCGGCAATTAGGCGGCGCGCGATTTCCATGCGCCCGGCAGTTGGTGACAAAGCCTGTTGGTTGGCGTCGAAGACGTACTCGGAAGCTCCAGCCAGATTCTTGCAAAATGAATAAAAGTATGTTAATAAAATGCCTATCTATAAGAATGGTTTCGGAATGTTTAAACCAAGGAAGTTCAGTGGATAAAAGTACGGTTTGTAACCTTCGAGTAGTAACGTCGTGTAGTTGATTATGCAAGTTACAGAACAGTAACATAAAAATTAACAAATGCAAGTTAACAATAAATATACTTATTAAAATGTTCAAGTTGACCCATACACTATCAGTCTCTTAACTACTTTAAAGGTTTATTTTATTGGATATAGCTAAACTTATGACAACCGGTAGTTGCAGGCAAGACAGAGAGTCAGTTCTTCTGTGTTTGAGGATTCCCGGTGAAACACGCTTCCACATTCGGCCTGAAAAATGTATGAAGTCCCTAAAATTAGTTATGCAATGATATACACTTGCGAGCAAAAGTATGGAATCACTTACATGAAGTTGTTTCCACGCGATCTTGTGTACTAACCAATTTGTTAGTAACAAAAAAAGTAGCACCATTTTAAAGATTAAATTTTTAACTTTAAATTGATACCAAATTCATTTAAATCACACCAGTATTTAAAAAGATATCCCGGCTGATGTGAAAAAGTAAGGAAAAAGGCATGTATCAACTGTTTGATACGTCGCGAGTTGCGGCCTATTTACCCCCCATAAAAGCAAGTGTTTTCGGATTTTTGCTTTCACACGTTGATCCATACACATCTCCGCTTCTTTTGACACTTTTTGTGTCCAAAATTTTTGACTTTATCGATCGATATCTCGATAACGATGCATGATACGCTAAAAATGGTTCGGGCGTTATTGTAGAGCACAAAGAAAGCTACAAAAAGTGTCCTACAAAAATTTTCGAGTCTCATCGGATAGCCGAGTTATTGCCGAAAAACAAATTTTACCCCTTTTTTCAACATGGCGGCGAAAGCTCCTAGGAAAGTTTGGTCGACAATCTCAAGTTAAGCTTTTCTAGGTATCCCCTACAACATATTAAAAAAAAATTAGAAGCGCAAATTCATTTTCTTTTTTGAATGTACGTAATGACTGGACTATTATAACATAACGAACAATGATAATTAAGGATGCGCCCCGCATTCTAAAACATTTCTAAGTAGTTCTGTTTAATTCATTAAAGTGTTTGGTGGCTAGAATGTGTTGCATGCTATACTTGTACTAGGGAACCATTCGTGTGCCAGTCTGACTTGCACTTAGCCAGTTACATTTTTGAGAAAGCTTTTCATGTTAGACAAGTTCGAAACACATTTGAGGATGTGCGACAAACAGCAATTTTAAATTGCGTCGATTTGAGTTATCACCGCGCAACGGTGAGCCATGCAGTTACGATTACCTAGAACGGCTTGACCTATTTGAACTCGCGGTGCATCCAATAAATCAATATTCGCACTAAATAGAAAACAATCTGCCCCCGGCCACGCATGCGCGCAGACACGTCTGCGACCCGGCGTCTGCCTAGCTCAGTTCTAGATATTGCAATTTAACGCAGGTGATAATGATGATAGCGAAATGGCGGCCTGTAAAGGCTGACAACGTATTCATTAAAACGACACGTAAACCATTGTTCAACCGTTTCTGGGAACATACTACCCACAACCAGAATTCAATAATACGGAATAAAAAAATAGTAGTCGATCTATAACTAGTCAATCTTTTATCTTTTCACACTTAAATTTTAGAACAGATTTTGAAAAAAAAAAATGTTATAGAGTTTAAGACCCAAGGAAAATATAGGATAGTTTTTATACCACTTTATGAAAAGGGAACATTTCATGCGCAAGGTAGGTGCTTGAAAGTTTTTCGGTGAAAATTCAAATAGGCAAAGCCACGGGCTTAAGCTAGTTTTAATAAAATGTAAATCTACATCTCCAGTATAACTTCGCGAGGGATCCTAATTTAAACGCAAACTTTACCCGCCTTTTACCCTTACACCTCTTCATTGCAACCCCATTAATGTTTATTTACTTACAAGTAGGCTAGTAAAGTAGGAGATTTTACATTCTTTGTTCCCTAATTAAGCTCTCACGAAACATACTACTCATCACAGACGCGCAATGTCCGGCTTGTGCGAGAGGAACTTAGTATAATTTTAGATCTTCCCACACAGTCAACTACGGTATCTAGGCAACGGAAGATCGATAGTCGACAGTCTTCATACAACTTACGCCCACACAGTCTAGCTACTAAGCAATCGCTCGGTACCTACTTAATATCAAGAGAATACCTAATTAAGTCAATAAGTACACTACGTAGATAATAATAGAATAGAAATAAGTATTTAGGTTAGGCTATCCATTCATATTCAAGATTGTTCAGGTCATATCCAGGTGCTTTTCTAGATTTTAAGCTCTCAATCGTTCTCGTCACCTCTTTTTCCATTACAGGTTTTGGGGCATCTTGATATCGTGGTGTAAAACACTATTCACGTCTTTATCTGGGTCAGGATCTAGTCCACCCACCATTTTTGCTTCTCAAAGGTAGCTTGCAGCCAAAGGTAGGTCATAGGACTGTAGTCAGTAGACGAAGTTAAACAGGAACTTTTGCAAGTGTTGTATTTCGCCGTTTTTAGGGTTCCGTAGCCAAAATGGCAAAAACGGAACCCTTATAGTTTCGTCATGTCCGTCTGTCCGTCTGTCCGTCTGTCCGTCTGTCCGTCTGTCCGTCTGTCCGTCTGTCCGTCTGTCACAGCCGATTTACTCGGAAACTATAAGTACTACAGTGATGAAATTTGATGGGAATATGTGTTGTATGAACCGCTACAAAATTATGACACTAAATAGTAAAAAAAAGAATTGGGGGTGGGGCCCCCCATACATGTAACTGAGGGATGAAAATTTTTTTTCGATGTACATACCCGTGTGGGGTATCAATGGAAAGGTCTTTTAAAATGATATAAAGTTTTCTAAAAAACATTTTTCTTAAAGTGAACGGTTTTTGAGATATCAGCTCTCAAAGTCGTAAAAAGTATGTCCCCCCCCCTCTATTTTTATAACTACGGGGTATAAAATTCTAAAAAAAATAGAGGTGATGCATGCTAATTAACTCTTTCAACGATTTTTGGTTTGATCAAAGTATCTCTTATAGTTTTTGAGATAGGTTGATTTAACTGTAATTTTGGTTAAGTTATTGTGCTTACACTGAAAACGATGGCTGAACCTTATAAGATAGATCAAAAAATATACTACAGTATTGTACACCTTTTAAAATCCGCGATGATATAAAATCTTTATAATGTAGGTACTTTTTACGAGAAATATTAGCTTATTCAAGCAATACGCCATTAATCCTTATCCAGTAATGTACCTTAAATACATTGTGCATTTGATAAAGTTTAATATTACAAATGTGATTGTTGAGTAATAATAGGTTAAACATATCCATCGAACCAATATTTTTAAAACGCGTTAATCCTATAGATTATTATTACATCGATTCAAGAAGATCGGTCGCTCGCTGCGCTGCAGCGCGTGAGTTGCGGGGCGTGGTCTCGCGCGGGAGCGGGGATAAGATAGCTAACCGCGTCGACCCGAACGGGCAGACACGTGAGGGCAGACGTCGTTGTCACTTGTGCGCGCTAAGAGAATTTCATCGTTCCCATTTACTTCTTTCGCAAGTCGAATTTGGCGTTGAGACTTTTTAATATTGAATTGTACCTATTATAAAAAATAAGTAAGTAGGTATACTGGTTTAATAGGTGCTATTAAACCGGTCACGTACTAATAAATCCCCCAATAATATAAATTCCTTTGTTTTTGGTGCAAATTTTAGTGTTTCGTAGCAGGTTTTTAAAATTTCTAAAGCTTATTGTATATCATCTAACAATGGATACTTTAGATAATACGTTTTCCTACATTCTGAATTATAATAACTATATCGAAGATGATGTGGTTCGCGCATTTCATGAAAAGTTACTTCGGTGCACATCATTTAGACCGCGTGAGCTAGAATTATTTCAACACCCTGAACTGATTGAACCTGTACCTAAAAATGAGACGCACCTTCAAGTAATTTATGACGGTGACGTGGGATTAGTGGGGCACTGGAGTTGTATTTATTACATTAATGGAATACTGCGTGTGTACGATAGTCTTGTTGGTGTTCTAGGAAAATCGCAAAAAATATATGTAAAAGCCTTGTTTCCGTATCTATCGGAGTCATGTATTCAGTTTCCAAGTGTTCAGCGACAACCGAATACTATTGATTGTGGTTTGTTTGCCATTGCTTTTGCCACCTCTTTAGCTCGGAATATTTATAAATACATATATAAAATTAATATTCATACATAAAAGTACAAGGCAAAATATCGGGAGAGTTTAGGCTCCATTCACCAGGTGTATAAATTGACATAATAAGTTTATTATATTTGCTGCTACGGAACCCTTTGTGCGCGAGCCCGACTCGCACTTGGCCGGTTTTTTAAATGTATTTTCTGGTCTATGGCAATCTGTTCGAAAACAATAAGCCACTTATTTGGCTGGTCCTGGGTTTTATGTTGTCTTCGAGAGCCAATCAATAGCTGAACTTTCCAGCAAACTGTTTTCTGACTCAGTCTACAAACTTTAGGCGAGACTGGGAATACCTTGTCTTTTCATTCGATTGTACTGTAGTCCACCTTCTTCACTCAAGGCCTGTGCGAGTTCGTTTGCATGGGTCGCTAGTTTCTCCTGGTATTTCAGGCATGCCTGTACTATTTCCTCACGAACAGTGTTTATGCCTAGGTCAAGATACATGATGTATTTGTTGCTAATCCATTGGGGTATACTGATCATGGTTGCTTTACTTTGGAATCTTTCTAGAAATCGCCGTTATTCTAAAATAACTTTTTCTTTTCTTCATCTACTTTGGTGCTAAAAGCTCTATGTTTCTTCGTCTCTGATCCAAGTGCAGACCTAGCTTGGGTAACCTATTTCACGGTGCCTCTATTTGGAATTTGTCCTATTTAAAGTGACAGGCAGTCTTCTAAGATCCCTTCTATCTCTTGAGTTGATTC